CGACGAGACAATAACATGGACAAAGAAAATACCCCAATCTCAAAAGAAGAAAAAAAGATGATGAGCATTTGGAAGCTATCTGTTGAAGAGACACGGGCTGTAGGACGGTGAATCTATCTACCCAACCAAGGTCAAAAGGTAGAACTGATGATGATCGAGGCACGCGACAAACTCGTTAACTACCACCACATGTTTACCATCGCCCCTCTCAGCTCACGTTCCGATCTTTTGTCTTGCCTAGCAACACGAGTGTTTTCATTCGCGATTAACCGGGATGTTTGTCATGTTGGTTGTAAAAAAAAAAGAAGAGGGACAGATTTTGACTGAAGAAGAACAAAAAGGCAAACATGGAAAAGGGTAGATGAACGTTTGACAATTATGTAAGCATGATTGATTTTAGGGATTTGAGATTGTGCGTAATTAGATGACGGTCGACATCAGGTATAAGGAGTTACGGTGTTACTATTAGGTTAAGTACCATCCACAGAGGGGCAGCAAAAGGGTTTTGTAAAAATAGGGCACAGGTCTAACAAAATTCTTTCAAGCGATTTCTCACAATATTTCTAAATCGTTTATTATGCCTTCAAATATCGTTGAAAATCAAAATGGTTCTCATTTTGTCCTTGGGGCATATTTACCAAATCATACGGGGGTGGGCTAAATACAGATGAAGCAACACTGAGCGAAATGTTAGCTAAGAATAAAAATGCATATTGTAACGAATACGGGAAAGAAAATCTCAAAACTTGTATGGTATATAGTTATATGTAACTGCAATCACGAGTGGAGTAATACCCCTATGTGCCTCCCCTTCACAATTTTCTCCCCTCCTTACGTTTGTTTGTTTGTTAGTTTATGGTTTGTTGATTTATTTATTTGTTGACTCATTCATTTATTTTTTGTTTTTTGTTCACTTTTTGCCGTATGATGGGGGGGGGGGGGGGAGTTTTACCCGTGCCCACCCCATAGCTACGCCACGACAAAGACCTACAAACATAATTATATCAATACATTTATTACAAACAATTATCTTTGTTTGGAGTGACCCTTTGCACTTCGCCTTGCCCCCAAACGGTGCACTTCCTTTCCACCTCTAGGAATATCTCCTCTTATCTGCCCGCAATCTGATTTCCGCATCGATTTTGAATGCGTCGTTGATTTCGTTGTTGTACTACCGGAGGGTCGATGACAGGCACTCCGTTCATGCGTGATCGTCGAAACCGTTGAGGTATTCATTAAGCGTATCGACGTCGTTATCATGACCAGATGACGGGAGGTGTTAGTGGAGGAGCGTCGTGGTGGTGGCGGTGGTGGTGGTTGCATGGCGGGCAGCGAATTTTTTTTCCGTACTCGAGAGGGCAAATACCCCATGTGCGCATGCGCGTGGACTTGTGATTTCTCTGCTACTTCCCATACGAAATGTACATGTATTCGCATGTACTGTGCACGATTCGCGTTCTACGAGTAAACGATGGCATAGTAGTCTTCAAACACAGACTCTGATTTGCCAGTTTGACAAAACAATTACGCATATATCGTGCGTAGCAATAGTACTAGTATTCAAGTCTGAGTAGTTGTATGATTCAGACATTTTAGTGCTTACAGAAATGCATCCCAAATTGAATAGCATGGTATAGTAGTCTGCAAGCACAGACGCTAATCGGACAGTTTGACAACATAGTGTCTTGAGTAGTGCTTTATATTCAAATATGTGTAGTTTTATGATTCAGACCCTACTGGTGCGTGTATTGGAAAGGCATCTCAACTTGCAGAGTGGCATAGTAGTCTGCAAGCACAGACGCTAATCTGACAGTTTGACAAAATAGTGTTATTCAAGTCTGAGTAGTTTTATGATTCAGACCCTACTGGTGCAAAGTAATACAGAGAGTGCGAGCATACTGGAGGGAGGGCTAGAGAGAGAGAGAGAGAGAGAGAGAGAAAGAGAGAGAGATATGGAGAGAGAGAGAGAGAGAGAGAAAGAGTGTGAGAGAGCAGTGGCACAATACATAGGCCTACCATGGGGTCTGGAATCATTAAACTACACAAACTTGCATAAAATCACTACTCATCAATACACAATATATTATTATGTCCTTGCAGACTACTATACTACACTCTACACATTGAGATGCATTTCTAACGCACGCACCAGTAGGGTCTGAATCATACATCTACGCAGACTTGAATAAAGTACTTCTCAGCACACTACTAGTATGTTGTCAAACTGTCAGATTAGCGTCTGTGCTTGCAGACTACTATACCATTCTATACAAGTTGGCGACTTGAATAAAGTACTTCTCAGCACACTACTAGTATGTTGTCAAACTGTCAGATTAGCGTCTGTGCTTGCAGACTACTATACCATTCTATACAAGTTGCAATGTATTTCCATATGCACTACTGGGTCTGAATCATACAACTACACAGACTTGAATAAGCACATCGCGACACATACGCATATTGATTTGTCAAACTGGCAAATCAGAGTCTGTGTTTGAAGACTACTATGCCATCGTTTACTCGTAGAACGCGAATCGTGCACAGTACATGCGAATACATGTACATTTCGTATGGGAAGTAGCAGAGAAATCATAAGTCCACGCGCATGCGCACATGGGATTTTTGCTCTCTCGAGTACGGAAAAAAAATTCGCTGGCGGGCATCTATGTAAATTAGATATATGCACTGGTATATGCATCGAGGGAGAGAGAAAGAAAGACAGAAAGACAGACAGATTGATAGACAGAGAGGGAGAGAGGGAGAGAGATACAAAGGAAACAAAGAGAAAGACAGGGAGACGGTAAACATACAGACATAGATATTCCATCAGAAAGAGGGAGAGGGTGAGAGAGACAGGCAGAGACAGACAGAGACAGAGAGAAATATAGAGGGGTGTGGACATGAGAGAAAGAGAGAGAGAGAGAGAGAGAGAGAGAGAGAGAGAGAGAGAGAGAGGTGAAGAAATTATCAGAGGGACATGGGACAGGAAGAAAGATAAACTGGGTTTAAGACTAGTAAGAGAAGGATACAAAGGTATAGTAGAGGAAGATTATAGATAGATGACTATAATGAGAATAAAAAGAGAAAGCGAGATGAATTATAAATACATGTAGGTCTAGACTCCCCCTCCTATCCCCCCACCCCCATCCCCAATCCCCGTTACCCTACCCTGAACCCCCTGTTCCCCCTCCCTACCCCCCCCCCACCCCCTCCAGACCAATCCCAGACTAAATCCCTGCCCCCTGGAAGTGTACACAATACTTGCCCCCTCATTTTTTCCTTTCTAGTAGCACCCAAACAACCCGATATCCCTAAATCTGGGTCCGATTAATAAAGCACGGTTTCGATTCGGCGAGTCGGATGTGTTTTTGTGAATGACTTTAATGCACTGTTTCAACGGGATCTATGTTTCTTGAAGGAGAAAAAAAAGACCTGCCACTGTTAAAAAATTAAAGGTATTCTTACGTTCATGTAGGCGTAATAACGGAAAGCGATATCGTTATAGAATCCATCAAAATTTAAGTGGATATCATTTGTAACACAGATAATGAGAATAAAGTATGACATCAAAACAACCTGGACCACAATATTGAGTCTTCATTTATCTCATTATCTGTGTTACAAATGGCGTAATCGGCAGGGATTTCATCACTGCAAGTGCAAGCCCTGGCTTTCTGTGGAGCTTCTAGTTTTGGGACAGCTTGATCGGACATGGACATCTGGAGACCTGTAAATATTGATGTAGATTTAAGTTGTAGCGATTGTGTGTATTGTATGAATGTTTGTTGCTAAGCTAGTGTGAAGTTTAGTAAGGAGCTACGTTGTGTTTGTTTAGGGTAATTTTATTGAAATTATCTTGTAATGGAATACTTTAATGTATTCAGTTTAAATTGTTTTGGGGAATTTAGGAGTAATACTATTCATATGTTGTTGAGACTGTCATGATAATTCTGTGTTTGGAACAATCCATACCCCCTTTCGTATTTAACTTCGGCTGGTTGGATGGAGCCTCAAATTAAGGGATGGCATACAAAGACACCGGTATTTTATATATTGATAGGAGGGATAGCAGTACATGTAGGTGTAGAGCAGGTATAGCTCTAGCTTTATCACTTATGAATAGTTGGAATATTCCTTTATTTGAACTTGTAAATTGTTGAGATTTTAAGTTGGTCTTGAGATTCGTTAAAGTTTCGGTAACTTAAGGATAAGTTAGGTTTAGGTTGAAGTGTATGTATATCACATTTATTGAATTGATATGCATGATGTATATTTGTTAGTTTAAGGACTGCTTTTGAAAAAGCAGGGGAGCCCATGAACGTGACATGTTTGTTGTTTTAGAGTCAAATTTACAATGATTTGTATTAATTATTATTCCTTCAGGTGTTGGCAAATTACAATCAACATGTAAGAAGCGGGAACGAGAGGATACGGTCCTCTAGGCCAGATTGCCAGGGTGAGTGGGTTATCATATTCAATGTATAAACCACTAATTCAATGTAGTTTTAATTGGGAATTATGTTTGATTGTTTGACAAAGTTCACTGGATGGTTGTCTTCATTTATTTGTTGGGAAAGTTATCCATTGCGATGGAAGAACTTTATTTGTGATTAGATACTTGTTATTTTCATGCAATATTGATTAAGTTTTAATGAATGTAATATAAACAACATGTTTATCATTTATTATTATGAGTCGGCTTGACGTCATATTGTTGGAATGCGTATCTTAGAGTCATTAACAAATATTATGTTTATCGCTATTATGTGTGTTTTTCAAACATGTCCTCATTTCTATTTAATTGTTTTAACTTTGTTTATTTGTTCAGGCTTTAGCTTTGGCTTTAGCTTTGTTCACTTTGCACCTGAAATAAAAAGAACCGCAAAAAAAAAAAAAAAACAAAAACAAAAAAAAAAAAACAAAAAAAAAAAAAAAAAAAAATTTGTAACATCGCCGATCACACGCAGAAACTGGTAGAAAATACTCGATCACACCATTCGTTGTGTTGCGGTTCTTTTTATTTCAGGTGCAAAGTGAACAAAGCTAAAGTAAGCTAAAGCCAAAGCTAAAGCCTGGACAAATAAACAAAATTAAAACAATTAAATAAAAATGTGGACATGTTTGAGAAACACACATAATAGTGATAAACATAATATTTGTTAATGACTCTAAGATACGCATTCCAACAATATGACGTCAAGCCGACTCATGATAATAAATGATAAACATGTTGTTTATATTACATTCATTAAAACTTAATCAATATTGCATGAAAATAACAAGTATCTAATCACAAATAAAGTTCTTCCATCACAATGGATAACTTTCCCAACAAATAAATGAAGACAACCATCAAGTGAACTTTGTCAAACAATCAAACTTAATTCCCAATTAAAACTACATTGAATTAGTGGTTTATACATTGAATATGATAACCCACTCACCCTGGCAATCTGGCCTAGAGGACCGTTTCCTCTCGTTCCCGCTTCTTACATGTTGATTGTAATTTGTCAACACCGGCCTGAAGGAATAATAATTAATACAAATCATTGTGCATTATATTCCACAACAGAAAACTGAAGAAGATTCAAACTATATCCGCAAACTGTTAACTCTTAAAAAACATTACTTTTAATTACAACTGTTTTGCAAAATACGATTATCCAGAGTTAACCTCAACAACACATTATATAACTAAAACTTCTAAAGATTACAAGTAATATAACAGATAACATAGTAATATTCAAATCATCCCAAATTACTATTACCAAATCTTAATCTAGTGCTAACTCACTAACGAAATCAACCTACTGATGATTAAACATAATATGCCACACCTCATGATGCATATTAATTCAGCACAAACTATATCGTTAAGAACGATACCAAGGTTATTAACTAACATCAGAATACATCTACAAAAGTACTAATTATCTCAATAATTATCCAACTTAACAAACGAATAATCTTCTTACCTATATAATGACATGTTACACCAAAAGCTTGCAGAGTCGACCTCCCTGCCTGCCCCATGGATGGGGTGCAGTACAGGAGTGAATCTGTCAAATACCTCTGCCTTCTTTTATAACAGCTACACTCTCACAGTGATCTAGCTACCACACGTAACCTGTTCTGGGAAAGGGTCTTGTTATTGGGAGGGAGACAGGAAGTCTTTTGTTTTGGAAGTTTGGTTCCTATCTGATGTTTACAATCTGGGGTTTGTTTGGCTAAGTTATCACAAGTGTTCTGGAAGGGGGGGGGGGGGTCGAGTTACCAACCTTTGACCAAGTGACCATACATCATTAACTCTCTCATAACTGTGGAATGTCGTGTTTTGGCCAAATTGATAGCTTCTACTCAGAATATGTGTGAGTCATACTTCTTTGAAGTACAAAGTTTGTTAACATATAAACTTCTTACTTTCCTCCTGAGGAGATATTGATTAAAAATAGGTATATATGTTTCACTATAAAACAGTTCAATTCTGACCTGTTACACACTCCCCTGCTTAATTGAGTGTCGTCCCGACACTCAGACTACAACAAAAATTATATTAAATTCCCACTATACCTTATCTCCATCGTGGCTGTTTCCCGATCCTAATACCGATGCCTAATTACCAATATGCAAATCAAAATTAACCATGTGATTAAAACTATTTTTGCATAATACAGAACATAAAAATTGAAATCATAACACGTTATTGGCCAACCCGCACCACTAATACGAACTTTCTGGTCTCATGACGAGAATCACAGAAAACATACCTAGTGCAAAAACTCATCTGTTTCAGTCATTCTAGCATTCCTTATTATGTAAAACTGGTCTCATGTCGAGGCTCCTAGCATTTACAAATTATCTAAGTACTACCCAACTGATCATAACAGTTCCAGAGTCTCTACTGCCAAACCTTAGTTATCAACATAAATCTTCATATTACAGGCATCTCCAACAAGCCAGATGATTTTCACGGTATATATCCAATTATTCTACCCTGTGTCATTTTAAACACACAAAAACAATAATCGTCCTTATAGTACATTTACACACTCTAGCAAATACAGCAGTGAAACTATCAACTCTATTTCGTAACAACCTTGCCCTACAGATATTCCTTTCGCATATCTTAATAAACTCATAAGATACAAAAATTTGACAATGCAATATACAAAAAAAATCTTATAACTTTTGGCTAATCCTCTCTGCTACCAATGTGCCCTTTCCGGCCTCTCTATGAGGTTAACAGAAAAACAAAGATAGAGAAATAAACCCTACTGTTCCTAGAAGTCGCCCCAGTATTTCTACCATGAATGATTCCGGTCTCATGTCAAGGTTTTCGGAATAAACATTAAATACTCTATCCCGGCTAAGTCCAATAGTAATTCCAGCCAAATCCCAGTTATATACCAGAAATCTTAGTATAAACCAATACAATATCCATTAACACAACACACGCACATAGTTACTCCGAACAATAATTGCTGACCCAAAATTAAACAACATGTCACGTTCATGGGCTCCCCTGCTTTTTCAAAAGCAGTCCTTAAACTAACAAATATACATCATGCATATCAATTCAATAAATGTGATATACATACACTTCAACCTAAACCTAACTTATCCTTAAGTTACCGAAACTTTAACGAATCTCAAGACCAACTTAAAATCTCAACAATTTACAAGTTCAAATAAAGGAATATTCCAACTATTCATAAGTGATAAAGCTAGAGCTATACCTGCTCTACACCTACATGTACTGCTATCCCTCCTATCAATATATAAAATACCGGTGTCTTTGTATGCCATCCCTTAATTTGAGGCTCCATCCAACCAGCCGAAGTTAAATACGAAAGGGGGTATGGATTGTTCCAAACACAGAATTATCATGACAGTCTCAACAACATATGAATAGTATTACTCCTAAATTCCCCAAAACAATTTAAACTGAATACATTAAAGTATTCCATTACAAGATAATTTCAATAAAATTACCCTAAACAAACACAACGTAGCTCCTTACTAAACTTCACACTAGCTTAGCAACAAACATTCATACAATACACACAATCGCTACAACTTAAATCTACATCAATATTTACAGGTCTCCAGATGTCCATGTCCGATCAAGCTGTCCCAAAACTAGAAGCTCCACAGAAAGCCAGGGCTTGCACTTGCAGTGATGAAATCCTGCCGATTACGCCATTTGTAACATCGCCGATCACACGCAGAAACTGGTAGAAAATACTCGATCACACCATTCGTTGTGTTGCGGTTCTTTTTATTTCAGGTGCAAAGTGAACAAAGCTAAAGTAAGCTAAAGCCAAAGCTAAAGCCTGGACAAATAAACAAAATTAAAACAATTAAATAAAAATGTGGACATGTTTGAGAAACACACATAATAGTGATAAACATAATATTTGTTAATGACTCTAAGATACGCATTCCAACAATATGACGTCAAGCCGACTCATGATAATAAATGATAAACATGTTGTTTATATTACATTCATTAAAACTTAATCAATATTGCATGAAAATAACAAGTATCTAATCACAAATAAAGTTCTTCCATCACAATGGATAACTTTCCCAACAAATAAATGAAGACAACCATCAAGTGAACTTTGTCAAACAATCAAACTTAATTCCCAATTAAAACTACATTGAATTAGTGGTTTATACATTGAATATGATAACCCACTCACCCTGGCAATCTGGCCTAGAGGACCGTTTCCTCTCGTTCCCGCTTCTTACATGTTGATTGTAATTTGTCAACACCGGCCTGAAGGAATAATAATTAATACAAATCATTGTGCATTATATTCCACAACAGAAAACTGAAGAAGATTCAAACTATATCCGCAAACTGTTAACTCTTAAAAACATTACTTTTAATTACAACTGTTTTGCAAAATACGATTATCCAGAGTTAACCTCAACAACACATTATATAACTAAAACTTCTAAAGATTACAAGTAATATAACAGATAACATAGTAATATTCAAATCATCCCAAATTACTATTACCAAATCTTAATCTAGTGCTAACTCACTAACGAAATCAACCTACTGATGATTAAACATAATATGCCACACCTCATGATGCATATTAATTCAGCACAAACTATATCGTTAAGAACGATACCAAGGTTATTAACTAACATCAGAATACATCTACAAAAGTACTAATTATCTCAATAATTATCCAACTTAACAAACGAATAATCTTCTTACCTATATAATGACATGTTACACCAAAAGCTTGCAGAGTCGACCTCCCTGCCTGCCCCATGGATGGGGTGCAGTACAGGAGTGAATCTGTCAAATACCTCTGCCTTCTTTTATAACAGCTACACTCTCACAGTGATCTAGCTACCACACGTAACCTGTTCTGGGAAAGGGTCTTGTTATTGGGAGGGAGACAGGAAGTCTTTTGTTTTGGAAGTTTGGTTCCTATCTGATGTTTACAATCTGGGGTTTGTTTGGCTAAGTTATCACAAGTGTTCTGGAAGGGGGGGGGGGGGTCGAGTTACCAACCTTTGACCAAGTGACCATACATCATTAACTCTCTCATAACTGTGGAATGTCGTGTTTTGGCCAAATTGATAGCTTCTACTCAGAATATGTGTGAGTCATACTTCTTTGAAGTACAAAGTTTGTTAACATATAAACTTCTTACTTTCCTCCTGAGGAGATATTGATTAAAAATAGGTATATATGTTTCACTATAAAACAGTTCAATTCTGACCTGTTACACATTATAGAGACCGAAATGTTATATGTGAAATATAGCATTTCAAACTTGACTGTGTAATAACTCAATGAATGTTCAAAAAGTGTTGGTGCTTCTTTGATGAGAAACAAATTTGCTTGTCAAAATAACCATTTTTATATTTGATAAAGTCTTACTTTAGAACGAGATCGCAAAAGACTTCCAAAAAATGATTTTATATGAATATTGTGGTTTTATTATCAAGGCTTTACATTAAATTGTTCGAGATCAAGTTGAGGTTTGGTGGTAAAAAATCATGCTAATAGAAAATATTTGAAGGTAAATGTTTACGTTTACAATTTACATATTTATACCGATTTTAAAGGCACACCTTTAAAAAACATTTTTGAAGGTGCTATGTCCCATTTGCAACCAACATCAAATTCTGTAGAACTTTGCAGGAATACGAATGTGTCATGTATGTCCTATCTGTGAAATTTAAACGTTAGCAGTGTCCTATTATTCCAATTATGCAAGAAAATCCGTTTACTTTCTAGACTTCACTGTCAGACACTATTGAGTGACTGACTGGCTTTTCAAAATCTTTTCTTTTATAGTAATAACATACATAAAATGAGCTGTAAAGGTATATCAGCATTTTGTCTACATCAATAACCCATTAGTTGTAATGGCAAAAGTTTAACTGATTAAATCTTTGCGCAGCACAAAACGACCATTTGGTACAAGGGTCTGAAACTCAGACTATTCTTAACACTATTGCAATCACTAAAGTCGATTCGACAACCAATGCTCGTTATTTTCACACTAAAAGACAATCTCAAGCCCTTTGGTTTAGAAGGAAGTTCTAAATTAGTACTATCTTTCAAATGCCGTTGGATTTTAACCTTTTCATTTTTTTGGCCTGCAAATGGGACATAGTGCCTTTAACCAACATCTTTAAATCTAGCAGAGTCCAAAAGACACATACCCAGTCGTCTGCTCCTGAAGGATTTGGGCCGATTATCTACGGGATCTCGCGTTACATCATTGGTCGCCCGTGGGAGGGCAAGGGGGTGAAATATGGACCAGGGGTGGTGGGGTGATGATGGACCGATACCACTGCCGATTAGGGGTGGGGTGGGGGCGGGGACGTGCGTATACCAAGCATTTCAACCTATTGTAGGTTTATGTCTACTTCAATATGGTAATCACACTAACGAAATTAGGCCTTAAATTATATTGGCAGCGTAGTATAGCCAAGTGGGCCGGCGCATTAATTTGTCGCATATAAGAATGTTCGGTTCCAACGGTACCCTGAAGATTTTTCTTTTGATAAAAAATGGGGAAAAGAAGGAATATGGTGATTTATTGCTAAGCAAGGTTAACTTCTAACCCCCCCCCCCCCCCCTTTGGAAAGCAATCTGGGATACACCGCTGTATAAAAGGTCAGTTATTGAAAGAAATTCTCAGTGTGCTGTGTATCATTAGGAATATTTGAATTGGACGTGAGTTCTTTTTCATTGTCTGACTTTGTATTAAAACAGTGTTTATACAAAAGAAAATTTCTATTTCAAACGCACTGATTACAAATTGATACGCCATTTCACCACCAAATGTCGCTATACCCTTGATAGTTTACTGTCGTTCTGGGCTGGCCCATGCAGGCATTGGTGTGTTTATTTTACGCATGCATATCGGAGCAGCGAGACACTATGCGAGGCGGATTACGGGCGCACAGTGGCGAGAGCGCATCTGTCATGTTTTCAGGAGTACCCAATAATATTCATGCTTTTTCATCCTCCACCCCCCCCCATATTCTCTCTCTCTCTCTCTCTCTCTCTCTCTCTCTCTCTCTCTCTCTCTCTCTCCTCTCTCTCTATCTCTCTCTCTCTCTCTCTCTCTCTCTCTCTTTCTCTCATACACACTCTCTATCTCTTACTTTCTCTGGGTGTGTCCGTGAGGTGTGATTATTTTGTTATCTCGTCCTCTCTCCCTCTTGTCCTCTCTCCCTCCCTCTCTCTCTCTCTCTTTCTCTCTCTGTGTCTCCCTCTCTCTTTCTCTCTTTGATCATCCCTTTCTATGACATACAGAGAGAAAGAGAGAGAGAGAAAAAAAAAGCGTAAGAATAAAAGACAAAGGAAGAAAGAAAGACAGAATATTGAGTACGTCTCGCTTGCTTCTTTTCTATATAAATAATTTCACTCTTTCTTCCTCGGAGTACCCATTTTTTATTCTGTCTCTCCGTCCGTTTAACTCTCGTTTCCCCTTTGTCTATCTGTCTCTTCTCTGTTAATTTCCATGCTTCAACTAAACTTTCTCTTCTCACCCCACCCTTCTCACCCCCTCCCCCCCCCCCCCCCTCTGTACACCCCCCCCCTATATATATATATATATATATATATATATATATATATATATCTATTATGTCGTCATTTTTTGCACAGTTTCAAATACACCCCCAATTTCTTCTTCTTTTTGAATATTTTTTTAATCACAAATTTTCCCACTCCTCCTCTTCCAAGCTCATCATCTTTATACATGCCTTTTCCAAGTTTGACCACCCAATATTGATGAGCTATATATTACAAGTACAGTCATAACATCGGATGGCCTCAACTTTTTTGAGTTCATTACATGCATCGAGTGGTCACAATCTGTTCATATTCCCTCACTCTAATTATTCTTATTTAATTTGTCTCTTCTTTTCCCCCATCATCGATTTCTGAACGACTACCAGAGTGCAACGCCCATATCATTATCTTGTCATCGACGTTGATGGGTATGGTTTATGCCAATATTAATGGACTGGATTGGCTCAAATCTTTGCCCTCCTGGAGTGGTTTCGACCAGAGGACGGGGGGCATTTTGGACAGTTGCCCTCTATAATTACAGAAATATTCCCTGTAGCCCCTCTCTCGTGAATCCTCCACTGATGGGCCGGGGGAAACTTATGAGCTAGATTTAATATTCGAAGGTTATTATCATCATAATAGTCTTTAATTCTTGCTTTGTCCCAAGATAATAGAAAGGCTGTCGGATCCATGAAAATACGTCTAAAGAAATCTATTACCCATTCTTTCTGCTTTGCGATGTGTTTGGTCTTCAACATGTTCAAATGATTTAATTATTTCACCTGAGACTGATACGTTCCAATATCTAAACATATGTACCAGACAAACAACTTTCTGATTCTCCTATACATCAAATCTTTATTGTTTCGTTTTTCGTGTTATTTAAAACGACCCTACCGGAAATATCGAATTAAACGGAGAATAAAAATTTATTCCTTCTGATGACAAGTAAATTCTCTAAGGCATATTTTATGGATGGATAAGAGTAATGGAGTATGTTTTCTTATTCCATCGTACAGTGTATTCTGACTTACAAATGGAAACTGGTTTACTAGATTAGTTGGTGTTATTAAAACAAACTATTTTCCCATGTGGTCGTCTTAATACAAATCACGTTCTTCCAACCTCACGTGCCAAGCGCATTAGTTTGTCAAGCAATCTAAGAATACGGGCTGGGGACAAAGGAGAAAAAGAATAAAGATGATAGTATCATTTGTATAAGTTTTCTTTCAACTCAAAATCGGCAGGCAACATACAGATGACTACATTGTATTGTTGACTGTATACTGTGCATACGATGTAAACGGTTGTTTTCATTCGCAGTTCATATTTGTTATCAAGAATAAAACAGCTAATAATTAATTTGTTGATGTTAAGGGCATAGGAAAATACCATTTATCTGCAGATGTTGTATTTGTAGACTGCCTAATCCCTTTGAGAGGCTACTGGTCAATAAACTGTTTTCGTCTAGTAAATGAAATGAACTGGCATTCAGGAAAGAAAAAACCGAGAGTCTTCTTACAGAACGGAGGGGAAGAAGGTCGCGAGAACATTTGAAGTGTTTTGCGTGTATTGTGCAGCGTTCCTCCTTTATAGTGACAAATAAGACAATACTTTAAACCAATCTATTTGTTCGGAGCGTAGTCCTCGCGTGCTGCTACATAAATAACACAAATCTGAAAGAGGGATAACAATAAAGAAGAAGGAATGATGATAAGTTTTACAACTTAATTGGTCTGCTGAGGTTGTGGCCAGCCATCTATACTGGTCCTGCTGGTGGAGTAGAGCGGGCGGGCGGGCACGGCGCCAGGCCCCAATTAGAACAGAGCTTTCAAGCAAGCAGGTGGGGACCAATGTTTGTAAGAAAAAGGAAAAGAGGAGATATTGCATAACAGTTTACCAGCAAGGCTGGAGGATCACAATAGTCCATCTGTCAGAATCTAGTGATAATGATTCAAACAAACAACTTGTTTATTCTTGAAGAAGTTTAGGGAGTTTCGCGCTATTGAAGGCATAGAAATTTGTGTTACATACTAATTTAAGCCTAAACAAATACATAAACATTGAAGGAATCAATACGCTAGTTGCACTGTTTCTTGTTTTTATCATTTTCATGTTTTTGTAATGGATTGGGAAAAGATGATAATTATCAGATTTCAATGCTTGTAATCGTTTTATTTACTAAGCTCCTTAGGGGTAAGCGGCTAAGCGCTGAATGGTGTCGTTAAAACCTGGTTTTATTCAACCTTTCACCTTGAATATCACATCCCTTACTTCACCCGGGTCGAGACTGGCAAATGTAGAGTCTTTTGTAAAGAGAGTGTTTGTTGCAGAATGAAGGAGGTTCTACAGACTCTTTTTTTCTAGACTCTCTTTTAATCAAGGTTAGTGTCCGAGATATTTAATCTTATATCCTTTAAACAACTTGTTTCATCGCTTTCCCTATAGACTCACCTTTAATCAAGGTTCTAAAGTTTTAGTCTCCGAGATATTTTGTCTAATATCATTTTGATTAATTCTTTGTTTCATCGTTTCAGCTTATGATTGTGAAGTGTATAGTCCTATATCTGTTGTGTCTTTCCATTTCCTACCCCCTCCCTTCTTTTTCACTCTCTTACTCCTCCCCCCCCCCCCCCCCCTCTCTCTCTCTCTCTCTCTCTCTCTCTCTCCTTTTCTCCCTGCCTCCTTTCTCTTCCCTTGAAGCACCTAGCCCTAGACGTTTCCAACCACCTCCCGCTGCGGTGGTCGCGTGCGTTGCGCGTGGTCGGAAAATCACTCGACCGCGGTTGAGTGAACAAGTCTAATACCCCCTCTGTTGACAACCAACAACACCATCATAAAGACTAAGAGTAAGAAATCAATTTTAATGCCCTATTGTCGTATTACATTACCTTTATAATTGTGTACTTAAAAGGCAATCCAACCCTTGTATTTAACCAATTCATTGGTTTGGAAGCAGAAATTTAAGAGTAACAGAATGGTGAAAGTTTGAAATGAATCGGGCCATTAATTAGGGAGTTATGAATGTTTGGAATGTGAGATCACTAAATCCCAAATCTCAAATTGGCAATTTGGTCAGTGCGCTGTTACATAGTCATTGAACACCTCTCCCCGTGTATGTAGTGTACAAAAATTCCATTAATTTCCCTTTTTCTCCAAAGAGCCTTCTTACTAAGGGCACTATACTCCATATATATTATGGATAACCTATTATTATAGATCCTCTAAAGAGAAACTAACCTCCTGAATCACACATTCTGGAGAAAAAAATGAAATTATAATAATTTATGTATTTTGTACTTCTTCACAATAACATTACCGATTCAGCCCATAATTTTAGTGTTTACGACTTTCAAAAATGCATAACTTTCTTATTTTTTTGTCCGATTTTATTTAAACTATCACCATGCAGTCTACGTCTCTGAATTTTCTGCTTTCTTTATATAGAGTAGTAGTCTGTTAATGTTGGACTTCCCTTAATGATTAATGTCAAGTTGTGAATCAATCGCAACTGTTTATAAGACGGTGGCTCTAGTCTTTTTAAAGCAAATGCAAAGAGTCAAATATAAATTAAGGATCATCCTTACTTTACAAGCACTGAAAGGCACGCAGACAACAGTAAAGTACATGTACCAGCATTTTTATCATTTCAATAATCTTCTTTTTTTAATTGTCACTTTGTACAGAGAAATATCTAAAATCACACGGCACCTTGGGATGCGTAGATTATGGTAGCTCACAAGATGAAATTAAAATAAATCTTATTAATGGCATCATTCATTATAGGAAGCATGTCACAAGAAATCTTCATCATAACACCGTTATCTTACAAAATATAATCATGGTGCGTAATCATTGCACTGAAATAAACAAGCGACAAGAAATACAATACTTTAAATTACATCAAAACATGCTGAATCGCATTATAAATAACAATCTTTCATTGTGTCGGTATAACTACCCGACTGTACACATACCTTTGTCTCAATATGATTTTAACCGATTGGTCTTTCTTCTAGTATAGGATGCAATATTTAATTAATAATCAACATACCCTAACTTTCAAAAAGTCCAAGGCATTAAGTATATTTTGGCACATTTGCTAAAACAGAATACTTTTAATTCATATTTCAAAAGATTAATGCTATACGGCTTCCAATTCTGATATTAGCTAAAGTTTTACATTACCTGACTTTCAATAAATCTATTATTTCAGCATTCTAATAGAGTACACTAGAATGTGACCTTCATAGGGGCATTATAATTCAACTTTAATTCTATTTGGGGTCATTTTCTAACAGGAAATCTGTACAATTTTAAACACAAACATTCATACAGAAACCATGCACAATCACAGATCAAGTGAATAAAAGGTTTAATACTTAAGGCAAAAATGGTATGTATTATAAATCATGTAGCAAATATACAATTTTCTTGGAAATGGAATGTTGTTAGTTGCACAAATCTTTATGTAATTGGAAAACAACAATAAATCCACTTCTTTTTCTTTCAGTGCTAGTCTTTTTCTCAGCCTCGATGGTTGAAGGCATATCTGGTTATCAAGCAGGAATACATACACAGATGAAAAACAGATGATTTCAAGACTAGTACAAAATAGAATTTATGACAAAAATAGGTATCAAGTTTACATGTTCACTGATGAAAATCTTTCACATAAACTTCGGTCACTGCTGAAAGTTTTGGGACTGTTGACATCAAAACAGCCCCATCATATGAAAAACTTGAAAATTAACAAGTAAAAGTAAACAATTTAATACATGTATCTTGGACAGTTAAAACAAATTACTAACTTACTTCTAAAAATATATTGATACTTTGATGTAAATAAATATTCTATTGTACAATTCTACACAAGTGAATATCCTATATCATTAATAAAAACATTGAAATATAACTAGTAAAAACCTTCCCCATCATTGCATTTGCCTGGTATTTGTGTAGGCTGTACTTGTAAAACAGTAATAATAATAGTCACATTTGTATAGAGCTTAACGCTACGTTTCTAAGCGCTCTACATTGTAAATATTATTACCCCGATCATTGGATTCAATTGCTAATCGGCACATGAAAGTACAACGCTCCGTGGAGAATATTTCAACCAGGTGCCATTTTACAATCCAACCACATCAATGTTCGCATCCTACCGGGTACCTAATAAACACCTGGGTGGAGAGTGGCAAATGTAGATTAATGTCTTGCCAAAGGACGTTAGTGCCGGGGCGGGACTCGAACTGTGAACCATGTGATCCACAGTCCAGTGACGTATCTACAAGACTGTTGAAATCATATTCCAACAGAATAATTTAAAAGAGCGACCTCATGCTGGTACAACGTATTTGCGCAACTTTCGTAGTTAACTAATCGAGCCAATACAAATACCCTGGATAACACAGCAAATGTAACGTCACACTGCAAAATTCAAATCCCAAGCACACAGTACCATGTTTTGTAATATGCTTTTTTTGCATGTAACTTCAATGGAGAAAAAAACTATGTATTGTACACGGACGATAAAACTTGAATCTTGAAATTTGAAAGCAATTTTTCATATTGAAATAAGTTGCATCTGACCTTTAAAATGTATAAAATGAACCAATATAAAGCACTTATACTTGCTTCATGCTGCTAAACTAGATGTAATGCCCATTAAGACAGCCCAAGCGCTTAAGGCTTAACAGTAAATAATAATGGAATGTGTTTTTGCATTTCCCATTCTCTATACTCATCTACTAAACATAGTAAATCGTCACACTTGGAATGAAACATTACGATTTACACGACAGTTACAACCTCATAATTTTCTCCATGTGATGACACAAAAATAAATTATAAGAACTTTCTTCACTACAAATCTACAAGCAACTAAATTTGGATAAACACAACACAAAGGTTACTATGATTGTAGACAAGCTGAATGGACTGGTTTACTAACATATTCAAATTGAAGGATGTTTCTTTCCTAGGGACCTAGTGACGAGTAATTCCATTAACCTGTTATCGATGAATGAACTACAATACTTTGAATCCAGTCTGCATACATTATGTGTTGCTATGTGGGACAAGCCTTAGGCAAGCTTCCAGGCTGTCAAGAACAACCTTTGTTTAATAAGTATGCATCAAATTTGAATATTTTAGTAAACCGGTCTATAAGTTGATTATACAGGAGTCTGCCTATTGTCTATGTAAAGACTTTCGGTAGCTTTTACTGCATACTGTCAGTAAGGTACATTGTATATATGGGTAGTCTCTGAACAGACATGGTATGTTGGGATTACTGCTCGACTGATCCGAGTAACTTCCCTGTGGGCTGTGGATACTGTCACGGCTTGGCTGTAGTCTAGTGAGCAGACTACTTTCTTTGGTTAAGTAGGAATGGCCATGATATCTTACAAACCCCATTTCATGAACCTCACAATAATGGTAGAGCTAGAGCGCTTGAATGGAATATCTTGATGGGATGGTTGCATAATCCTGCCCCCTCCCCGGCCTCACCCCCAGCCCCACACCTATCACACAATGAAGCAGAGTTATTGTTTGCGACGTTATGGTAAGGACTAGGTATGCTGGAGTCTCTGTGAGACTATATTTGTTGCAGGACACCTCCTCGACAGGAGCAAACATCTTTTGACGTAGCTGTATCTCGAGGAGTTCAGTGATCTGTCTACAGGGGTAGGTGTGCTGGATGGAGAAGCCATATCAGAGATTAAATGTCATCTTTTGACGTAGACTTCATGAGGTTGCTTCGGTGATCTGTCTGCGGGTAGGTTTGCTGGTGAAGCGGTGTCAGAGATTGAATGTTATCTTTTGACGTAGCTGTATCTAGAGGAGGAAGAACTCTGCTCACGTCCTAGAAAGTGAAAAGAAAGAAAGATAAGACAGCTTTAGAAAAGACTTCCGATGCAACATCATACATTTCCTCTTACACAATACACTCTGAAAAATCCTGGAAAATTACTTTTTAATCTAATCCAGTTTACACTCTTTCATTTTAAAGTGTAGAATAAGTTTAAGCGGAATCAAAAAGCCACATAACTCGGGAGAAAATCCATTAGAACCGTGTGTTGCATGAACATAAGACACTTTCGATCAGGTTTAAAAAATATCCAGACTAAATGTAACCAAAACAAAGAAAGATACGTATAAAAGCTGAATGGCTAGATAAGATGACACCCAATGGATAAAAAAATAATTTATGTGATAAAAACTATTAAGGTATGAAGCAAAATCTAGTGGCATCCAGGACGCAAAATACATAATAATTGTTGAAAATCATTGTTTACCACAAAGCGTACAACCCTGTAAAACCGTATCATAAGAATAAAGAGCTGGAAGGTAATGGAGAAGTTAATTATTGATTTATTCAGTTATTAATTGTTATATTTACCTATTGTTGTTTTCCTTCCTGCCAATGTTCCTAGTCTCTCTTGCAATGCCTCTATCTTCCTGATGTAGAATGAGCCATCTGATTCATTCAGAGTACCCGGTGTTGCTCCAATCCCTAATCTATCTGTACTGTGTGTGCTACCGGGCGTGGCACCAAGATGCGATCCGGCACCGGTTCTGGTGATCAAAGAAAAAAAGTTGAATTGTTATTTGATATTTGTGTTACTTGGTGCTTTTTTTTTTGAGGGGGGGGGGGGGATAAATAGCAACTTAAAGGAATAGTTGAGTTCTGTTTTCAGACCTTCAAAATGCATGGTTATTGCTCTTATTCTTATCTATGACATTTTTAGTGTCCTTTTAGAACCTAAAATTGATATGAAGGTATTTTTAGACCCCAAAATGTGTAAAAAATTTAGCCACTACGATCATACCAATTCAGCTCCACTTTCCAAAAAACACAGTGACCGTTAATTAATTATTTAATTGAAAATAACAATACATGGGCCGGCTGGTTGCGCGTAATATAAGCAACACGAAAATGCCAACAAAAAAGCCAACATTGTCATTGGCTGAAATACGACGTAAAAGGCGTTATTTCGTTTTTTCAACGTTTTTTTCTTCAAATTTTCCAAAATATCTAATATTTGTGGTGGTACACAAGTATTAGAAATCGTTATATTTCAGCCGTCTCTGAACCGATTTTGATCGAACAAATATGATTTTGTCATTTGAATATTATGTTCTTTCAAATTTGACACTCTGTTTTTCATTATCTCACAAAAAAATTATTTTGTGTAGCGCCCTCTGCAACAGAACTCAACTATCCCTTCAAAGGTTATCTGTACTAATTTATAGGAGGGATTAGTCCACACTGCAAGGTCACTGGACAGGTGGTTATCTCATCAACTCTGCTCTCAATTAACATAGGAAAAAGAGGATCATGGGGGTCCGATGGTCACCGATTATGCATTGTTTTCTATATAGAGGGAGCAAGTAGGTACAATTAGGACAATTAGAGCACCCTGCAAGGTCACTGGACAGGTGGTTATCTCATCAACTCAGCTCCAATTAACATAGGAAAAAGAGGATCATGGGGGTCCAATGGTCACCGATTAGGCATTGTTTTCTATATAGAGGGAGCAAGTAGCTACAAGTAGGACAGTGTGGCTTTAAAATATCTTGCTAGATATTCTTGCATAATTTCATAACAAATCTTAGAGTATTTCATGGGTAAATGCGCAGCTGATCATTAATTTAAAGTAACTTGACTCCATTATGCCACTCCAAATATATGACATTCAAAGATAAATTTGGGGAATTCAGGTCCAGAAGGGGTTATGAGGCTTTTATAGGAATGATGATGTTAGTGTCTGCCTTTCGTTAATACCGCGTTAATATGTATGTCTAGTATGCCTGTGTTCTTCAGGCGATTGATGTGCAATAGCTGTATGTCTGGATTTTATCTATTATTTCATTTCATTTTGTTTATTTCCATTTCCAACAAAATAAATAAAGTACATGGTAAAACAATAAAACTTAACAATATAATTGTAATTGGTCCACAGTGTACAACAGGCATATAAAACAGGTTGGTCAAGGAGGGGACTGCTGAAAAGCTGGGCTTGTAGATTGCAGCCCCCTATAACTTCTAGTTGCAAAAATACTATATCAATAAAAAGGGAACGCACAAATACATAAACCAAATAGACATAACATAACAGGAGTGAAAGGGACAGGGAAAGAAGGGAGACAAGGAACGAGAGAGGGTAGGACTCTTACCTATTACATATACAACACAACACGGACCGACTGGAACAGTACAAAATGAATCAAAATATAAAAAATATTTTACCGAGTGAAATAATTATTGTTAGTTCTGTATTACGATTTTGTTAAACATACTCTAGTCCTATTTTGTAAAACTGTTGCTTTTAAGGGTATCCCACCAATATATATATATCATGATTTTTTTTATTTTTTTTTGCCCTCGTGTTCACATTGTATTAAAATGAAAAATAAATGAATTGGGTTGAATTGAATTGAATTGAAAATAAGTTGTAAAATATCTTAAGCCATTGAATCTTACACCGCATAACCAGGGATGGGCAACACAAGTGACTTCAATAAGGGCAGTAGATCTTGAGATGAGATGCAAGCAGATAAACATTTAACAAGTCATTGTCTACTGTTTGTATTATGACCGTGTTCTTCTATCTTTGTCATGTAAAGTATTGTCTTGTCCCTTTCTCGTCTCTCTTGGCATCCCCCTTTTTCTTTCCCCTATTTTGTAGTTCCTTTTGTAGTTACAGATTAGTTAATATAATTACTCATTATTGCTAAGTTTCATTTGAGGTGTTCACACTTGTACAAGCATTGCTTTTTAGTGGACCCCTCTGTTTCCAACATGTATTTCTTAAATTTGTTTTAAATGCTTAGAATTGATTTGTAATGTTTTGTTGGAAACATGAATAAAATTGAAATTTGAGCATGCTATTACACCCATTACTACTGAATGTGCCACTAGACCAGTTCATAGTTAACTTTGGTACAAATGACCCCCAAATATCCACAGATCTTGTATACATGGAGACATCCCACTTTGCCCATTTCTGAATAATCACTGCCAAAGTGATAAAGGTGCTTCATGCAAACCTTATGTTTGCCCTCTTGGGAAGAATGTTTCTGCCTATGCATCAGAGAATGTGCCGTCGGTGGATCAATGAATGATGATCACATCATTTTTAAGAGCACAAATCCAATATTCATCTCGATGGGTTTTACTAAATTGGTACAAATGACCTCTACATGTATCTGCCCATGCGCAGGTTGTATCAAAGAACTGGGGGCATTTCATGAAACAATTAGTCGGTGGTTTTCACTGACTAATATCATGTTTACCGACAATTTAGTCAGAGCTGACTAAATTTGACCAATCACAGGCCTGGAAAATAGTCTGTGACAAGAGAATTGTCGGTGAGCATGATATAAGTCGGTGAAAACCACCTACTGTACTAATTGTTTCATGAAACGCCCCCTCTGTTGGCGAATGTGACTCTTCAGGGTTACCTTGTCAAGTATACATCATTACGTTAAACTAAACTTTTGCACTGCCATAGCATAGAATGTACCTGTGTGAGAGAGGAGAGGTGATTGGTCTCGTCCTTCCTGGTAGATAGCCCCCTGTAGCGCCCACGTGGGCCATGCCATTGATCAGACCATACGCCCCCCTGTCCCTGACAGGAGGGGAATCCCCCGAATACTCCCCGCTCCTCGGTGAACCCCGCAGAGGGGAGGTGTACCGCTGAGCCCCAGTGGGGTATGTCTGGGTGGAAGGTGACTGGTTGGTGCTGGTCGAGGGCGGGGCAGCGGAGGGGGGTGCGGCTGAGGTCCTGTCCGGTTGGGAAGCACTGGGAGGGGCGTTGGCTGACGCCATGAGGTCTCGGGACCCTGACCGGGTTGCCCGTCTCCATTTTCGCACAAGAAACTTCAACCTGTGGTGAATATAGCAAGATTGATTTCTTAAAGCAGTGCAATTCTAACTAAAATATTTGAAATTGTCATTGCAAGTTTACAAATGTTTACCAGTAAAAGAATTTGATGACACAATATGTATGAATATCTCTTTCTTTCATATATATTTTACTGCTCCTCTTTACATAGTTCACTCTGTATAAACAGTGTATCTTGATATCGACTTCCCACTTCAAGAAACTACTGTGAATTTCACGAGGGAAAGGCACCATATTCAATGAACAAATTTGTGTCAAAGGACTGCAGAATGAACTTGTAAGAAATGATATGAACTGGTATAACCTGGTATTAACTGCCTTCAAAGGTTCAAGAATTCTTATCGTCTCGTAACAATACCTTGAGACAGCGATGACAACCCGAGCAGCACTCCTAAACCTGGTAAAACCCACTACATGCAACATGAACTGATACGAACTGGTATGAACTGGTATAAACTGGTATAAACTGGTATGAGCTGGTATAAAAACTAGTAAAAACTGCCTTCAAGGGTCAAAAATTTCTATCGTCTCGTGACAATACCTTGAGACAGCTATGACAACCGAGCAGCACTCTTAAACCTGGTGAAACCCACTACATGCAACATAAACTGATACGAACCGGTATGAACTGGTATAAACTGGTATAAACTGGTATGAGCTGGTATAAAAACTAGTAAAAACTGCCTTCAAGGGTCAAAAATTTCTATCGTCTCGTAACAATACCTTGAGACAGCGATGACAACCCGAGCAGCACTCCTGAACCTGGTGAAACCCTTGCCGTGCTTTGACGGGTGATCCCTGAGGTCCTCTGGTGAAGGGTATGCCCCCATCTTGGCGATCAGGGAGAGGGTAGCCTGCTCACAGTCCTGGAAGCCACCCAGCAGCAGGAGGAGGTACTTCTTCTGGTAGACCAGCGCCTTGCGGAAACTCTCGGCTCGCAGGTACTTCCCGTAGAGACGCTGGATCTGTTGATGATGGGAATGCACGAAAAGAAAGGTATTAGAGCTCGATCAATATTGAATACAATCCTTGATTATCAAAATATTACCTTTCCTTTTAATGTTCAGTCTACGAGCTGACCACTTTAGCCTCATGCTTTTTAATCTCAATGGGAGGAGACAACTACCCCCCGGACAAGTATCCTAGGGGGTAGTTGTCCTAGGGGGTAGTTGTCCCAGGGGGTAGTTGTCCCAGGGGGTAGTTGACTGGGGGTGGTTATCAGGGGTAGGTGTCCGGTTACGCCTATAGATATAGATGTCTTAGTCTTAAGTGACAGTGTCATGTGACTGTTCGACTAACCTTCTGCTGTTGTTGCTGCTCAGTGGTTTCTCCATTGACATGCTCCCTGCGCAGGGTGCCCCGTTCAAGGTCTAGCTTGAGCTGTATGATCTGCCTCTCTGCTTCCTGTAGGGAAGACTGGGTGGCCAGACACTCCTGGGCCCACGTGGCCCTCTCTCTGGCCAGGAGGGCTTCCGTATCCTTGTCACTAGATGCACCTCTCGGAGACTGTGAGGGGAGACGGGGAGATAAGAGTGAGGATAGGAGGTGGACTAGGTAAACGTATTTAAGATCTTACGATATCATCACTAATCATCTACTTTCACTTTGATTAACTACCTTAACACTCCAAATAACAATCAATAACAAATTTGTACCGGTAATCTGAATTTGTGCAGCCCTGGACCCAACATTATATCAAATCACAACTCTGAACATACAGTCTGTAAACCTAAAGGAGAAGTGAATCCTGAAATTAAGTTGGTTTTAATAGAAGCAGAAAAATGAGCGAAATAGATCAGAGAAAGTTTGATCAAAATCCAAAGAAAAATAAGAAAGTCATGAATTTTGAAGTTGCGATAAACCAAACACATTTGGCAACTCTGTGACGTAACTTGAGAGCTCTTCCCCAATTCAGTTTGTACAGAAAATGTCATCAACTCTAAGTTTCTTAGTTATTGATGACAAAATAGATTTGTTTCATACAGGGGTTGTTTTATTACATATTTGCAATAAGTATATCTAGGGCGATTATACGATTACAAATTTTCTTAAGAGAAACTATAATTATTATTTTTTTTTTTTTAGTATAGGGCAAATGGAATTTAAGAGTGTATAAAAAAAAAGGCAATACGTCATGGAGTTGCCAATTTGTGTTTGATTGATCGATACTTTTAAATTCGAAAGGAAAAGAGTACATAAAGAAAGAAATTAAGAGCGTTGCAAGAAAGGACCACTTGGAAGAGAGGAGAGGTTTGGAGGGAGCCACCTACCCGATGTCTCTGGACCTCCCTCTGACGGTACTGCCAGATCTCTTCCTCCAGCTTGGACAGCGCCGCCCTGAGTTCCGATTTCTCCGTACTGAGCTGCGAAACGTAGCTGCTCATCTCAGCATTTTGCTCCAGGAGACGCTCGTTGATTCGCGATGCCGTCGATGTCACTAATGGTGGCTGGGACTAGACAAATATGAATTGAATAGTTACATTTACTAACTGAGTACATGGTGGGAATTTTATGTTATCATGATGATTTCTGTAAACCTGCAGTGGATACAATTTTTCTGGTCCCAAAATCGAATGGCAGTTTCCTTCAAATTGGAAGGAAACTGCCATTTGATTTTCATTTGGGGGGGGGGAGTTCTAAGGAGCTCTTCATCACGATTTACCACATATTCTATAAGTTTTTCACAAAGAATACAACTAAGAAAAGTTGCCTACGTTGGTGACAAATGTTGCAAATGGCCTGAACTACCTTCAAATGTGGCAAAACTGGCAACAAGTGGGGGAAAGATGCCAACAAAAATCAATGTTTGCAGTCAAGTAAAAAATTTAACCAATCAACAGCCGCCATCCTTGTCAAGCATTGCTGATGATTGTGGTCCCCTTTCACTTTTTCAACAGAAAGTTTGGATAATACTTTAAAATCATAATTATATGTTATAGAAATATTAAGTTTCATTATTATATGTACTTATATAAAATTTTAAAAATCATTTTGACATGAAGTTAATTTTGTTTGTATATTTTGTATTATACCTTACATTTATATGTTCTTTGTTATTCAGTTATTACATTAGGAAAAATGCAGAAATAAAAAAATCAAATCCAATCAAACTTCTGCACTTACTTCAGACAGCAGAGCGAGGGCAGCATGTACTTGACGTAGTTCGGTGATCAGTTCAACCAGAGCACCATCCACCGATCTCAGCTCTTGAACTGAGGAAGACGGTACGCTATCTGTGAACATCGTTGCTCTGTGGTAAACAGGATGAGATTACCCATGCAGTTTTACAAGGTTACAACACAAGCACGTAAAAAACAATAATTCATCGCAAGGGACTGTAGTGAGTTGTCATTGAAAATGAATCATACTGTACGTGTTAAAGGTACAATGTCCCATTTGTAGGCAAAAAAAAATGAAAAGGTAAGAGTCCAACGGCATTTGAAAGATAATACTAATTTAAAACTTCCCTCAAAACGAAAGGGCTTGAAAATGTGTTTAAATGGGAAAATAGCGACCATTAGTTGTCGATCGACTGAAGTGATTGCAATCCATTTAGTAATCGTCTGATTTTCGACCCTTGTACTGAATGGTCGTACGTTTTGTGCTGCGCAAAAATTCAATCAGTTTAATTTTGGCCATTACAAGAAGTGGGTTATTGATGTAGACAAATGCTCATGTATCCTTTTCAGCATATTTTTTGTATGTTATTACCAAAGAATAAAAAGAAGTCAGTCAGTCACTCCATAGTGTCTGACATATTTTTAATCATGTTTAATCATCAAGCAGAGAGTCTCAGAGACTACATACATGTAACCTTGGACCTATCATCTTTTCAGTAGTAGTAGTAGACTTTATTGGATAACTTGTTTAGCACAATGCTAATCCGTCACAAGGGCTCTTGTCCATCGTTTCTCTTTCTTACCTTTCAATCTTGGAGAGTTCCTCTTGTTGCTTGACCGCCATGAGTTGTAACCTCTGTCTGACAGACTCCAACTGACCCTTATACAGGTCCAGACTGGCTCGTTCCATCTTGCCAACCCTGCCCTCTCTCCTACGCTGCGGGCTCCCTGACTCGTTATGCAGCTCCTGTGCAAGATAAAATCATTGTCGAGTATAGACACAATGTCAAATGTCCATTTAAAGCTTTTATTATACATATGTACCTCACAATATTTAATCACAACAAACTTGAAACAAATTAAAAATAAATACAGGCCTCCCTTTGAGGGAAAATTTGTAGATAAACTGTTGGTATCCCCCTTTTTTCCCTGATTTTGTAGTTTCTTTTGTAGTTACGGACTTGTTAATTTAAATACTCATTATTCCTAAGTATTATTTGAGGTGCCCACACTTGTACAAGCATTGCTTTTTAGTGGACCCCTCTGTTTCCAATATGCATTCCTACATTTGTTGTAAATGTTTATAATTGATTTGTAATGTTTTGTTGGAAACATAAATAAATTGAAATTGAATTGAAATTGAAAAGAAGAAGTACAAGGGGTATCCTTTTATTTGATTGATTGACAATGGTCTTGAAAAGTTGATCTCTCTTACCTTCTCTATAGCCCTATGTAGATCATCATCGGCCTGAGTTTCCTGAATTCTCTTGTTCTCTCTCTCCAATCTCTTGACCAGTCGCTGAGTCTCTATCAGCTCATCCTCCTGGGCGTCCATCTTCTGCTTGTCCAGCTGTCTCTCCAGCTCACGATCTCTCTGCGTCATCAAAGATTAAGTCAGGACTTTATAACCACGGAGTCTACTCGCAGATAAGGAATCTTTATTTTCATCAGGTTGGAGCTCAACAAAACCCTCCTCAAAACTTACCTGTTTCGTTTGTAACTTTTGGCATTGCAATTAATTAATGTATTATAATTAAATGTTACTCTAATTGATTTTTCATAAATAAATCTGTCATTAGTTTAACGTTTTTGTATTTTGTTCTTGTAACTAGTTAAATATACTTGTACATGCTTATTTTTACTATACGCATAGAGAAACTTTTGTTTAATGTGCACTTAATAAATAAATCTTTATTATATTACTTTGGAAGGAATTTGAAGGGCATTTCCCTATGCCTAATGTTACTGGATGAACAAAAACCAGAACGACATCTGGAATGGCGTGTTACAACATTGTTATCTAGCAATTAACTTTTACAATACAAAGATTACAGTAAAGAAAGCACTGATTCTGCACTTATCAACTAATTTTACAAGGAGTTTATACCAGTGCTTGCAGGTGCTCAATTTCACACACATGTGTTAAAAAAAAATATATCTATATACACTGTATATAACGAATTTAAAAAATCAAAAAAATCATATGATATCGAGTCGTAAGGTTTTGGATGTACGTCATTTGAACAAATTGCTGAACATACCTGTCTTTGCTTCTCAGCCTCTCTCTCCTTCTCCCTCTCTTTCTGCCTCTGTTTCTCCACCTCCCTCTCTGTCTCCCTGGTATTCTCCTCGTCCAGCTGGAGCTCCTTCTGACCGGTCAGGGTCGCGTGGAGCCGATCCCGGTCTGCCTGGGCTTTCGATGCGGTCTCCTGGGACATGGCCAGTTTCGCGTTCAAGTCTCGGCATTGGGCCTGTGGATTAATTGGCAAGAAATTATCCTTCTGTGTAAAACTTGTTCAAATATCCCCACAAAAACTTAGAACAACACCTTCAACCAACAATTACAATATAACCCATTGCCTACAAGAACCAGGTGGATCGTGTGTGAAGTCTTTGGGATTGAGAGAATGTTGTAGTCATTGGATTAAACTTTGGGAGCTATCTATACTTCTCCTCGTCCCCAAAATGGAGTGGCAGTCATTTCTTGACTATAGCCCTGCTGCCTTGATAAGACGCTACACCATTGAAAGAATTTCTTCTTCTTGTACGTACCATGTCGTGGTCGAGTGGTTATGTCGCCAGACTGTCGATCACAAGGTCCGCGGTTTGAGTCCCGCCGCGGCACTAATGTCCTTTGGCAAGACATAGATCTACATTTGCCACACTCAACCCAGGTGATGTAAATGGGTAACTGGCAGGAATTCATTCCTTGAAATGCTAGAGCGCCACAATGGCAGCACAGCTAAAGCCGGGGTAATAATCTCCAAGTTTGGAAGCGCTTAGTGGTTGTAAAAAGTGCTATATAAAAACTGAGTATTATTAATATTATGAAAAGTACTCATTTGCCTCACCTGGGTCGGGTGGCAAACATAGATTTGTACCTTGTCAAAGCACCTAAGTGATACAGTAAAGACTCAAACCTCATCCCTTATGATCTATGAGAAAGGACACAACCACAGCCAAACTCAAAAACTTACGTTGGCATCAAATAAAGCTACAGTCAAACCTGCTTTGGTGACCACCTGTCTACAAAGACCAAACTTTTTTTTCCCTTGAAAATGGTTTCTCATTGAAACATGTACTATTAAAAGGAACCTGTCTACAAAGACCAAAGTTATCAACATGTTTGACTGTACCTAACCTTTTACAACACAAACTTCAACTATCAAACAAGAAGTAAGGTAAATAGCTAGAAACGTACATCAAGGTTTTCAAGACTCTCTTTCAGTTTGCGATTAATCGCCCTCTCCCTCTCCACCACGTCCGACCCCTGTGACCTCTGCGAGTGCAGCGCCCCCTCTAGTCGACCTATCTGGCTCTCAAGCTGCTGGATGGTGGAGTGGAGCTCGTTGGCTTTTCGCCGCTCCCCCTCCAGTAGATTCTGAAGGTCCGAGACAGCAGACTTGTCCCTGAGGGAGTCATCAGCGAACGAACGCCTCTCTTGTTCCAGGGTCTCGTGGAGTTGTGCGTTTAGCGTTCGATCTCTCTACGATAATAAAGAAGGAAAAGATTATGTTATATCCCTTCTATGAATATTCATGAGTTTTCTAAATACATGATTGATCAATTGGTGGTCACGTGATAAAATATAATTTCACTATATAAAACAAATCTCTGCCAGAGCTCCAAATATTTTTCACTATTGGTGCGATGGTTGCAACAACAAAAATAATAATACAACATTTTTGATATTGTTATTTTCTTATATAAATAGTACTACATGTACCGGTATGCCAGTCCCTCCTCAGAAAAATAATTTCCACTATTCATTCTCACAGCTTGGTATATTTGTATATTATAGAAGTACTCACATTTTGTTTAACATATAAAATTCACCTACAGCTGCACAATACAAGTGTATATCATTACTAACCCTGATACAAGTACGTGTATATCATCTTCCAATTGAGCCGACAGCTATATTAAGAGATGACTATTAATAATCTAAATACTTTGTGTCAATTCTGTGTATGGTTTCAGATCAAAATTGAAAAATAAAATGACATGAAGTTCCAACAGTAATCATAAACTATTTACTATTTTTACAGAAATTGCTCTAGTTAACCTACAGCTTGGGTGAGGTGTTCCCAACATTTCATTTGATAATGTATGGAACCTGGGGGGTGTTTCATAAAGCTGTTCGTAAAGTTACGCATGACTTTACGAACGACTTGTATATGAAGAGCCAGATAGGATGCCCAAAGTTTTTTCTGATATTTTCAATAACCTCAATTAAATTATGGCAAAAAATATACTTTGCATTAAAAATGTTTGTTATAATAAGAATGTTAATCTACATCTGCACAGTTCAACTTTAGTTGATGCAGTTAATAACAATTGAGCATCGCATTTGGCTTTTCATATACAAGTCGTTCGTAAAGTCATGCGTAACTTTACAAACAGCTTTATGAAACACCCCCCTGTATTGACACCACTTTAGGGTCATTCATTAGGGTTACCTTCTTTAAAGACATGCATCTAATCTAAAAATACATATGAGCAGCACCATACCTGTAATGCAGTGTGAGCCTCCTGGCATCTCGTCTTCTCTACATCTAGCGCCCTCTTGAGGTCAAACATCCTCATCTTCTCCGAGCTGACCGTGTTGGCGCTCTCGTCTCTCTCCGCCTCGAGCTCTCTGCTCAGGCTCTCGGCGCGCTCCCTGGCAGCGTCCAAGGATTTGCCCATCTCGTTCGCTTTCACACGCTCAACGTCCAACTCTTTTCTCAGTTCCTGTATGTATAAAGCGAGAAAAAGAATAACAATAAAACAATGACATCTGTAGTGTGCTGAAATCCATGTCAAGTGGTATAATCTAAAGGTGTCTGCACAGTATTGCCCCAAACATTACTGGCCTTGCTGAGAATCAAATTTGGACCAATTGTGAAAATATAATAAACATAATAAACATTAACATAATAGTAATAACAGTATCTGTAACGATACTAATAATAATAATAATAATAATAATAATAAATATAATAGAAATTACAGTAACAATAAGAAGAAGAAGAAGAAGAAGAAGAAGTACATACCTTCACTAGTTTCTGATCCCTGTGTCTGGCTTGTACTGAGCGGTTACTCTCCTGAGACAGTGCCTCGTGGAGTTTGGAGATGTTACCCTTCTCTGAATCTAGTCCTTCCATCAGGGTAGCTGATCTGGCTTTCTCAGCCTCCAAAGCGGCTCTTTAGAAGTAAAACAAAACGAAAATCAGTCATTTCATTCAACATCCTTTTGGATTTGGATTGGTTAGGATGAGGATAGAGGCTTGTGTAAATGTTTTCTTGAAAGAAGGCTTGGTTAAACAAGATTGCTTAAATTTGGTCTACATATTTATGGAGTGCCAAGTGTCAACACCTCCATTCTAAAAACTAATACTAAATTATTAAAATAATAATATAACTAAAAATGATAATTAGAAACAAAAGAACATATTTTAATTCAATTTACACTAAAAATAACACTGAGGAATCAATTTAATCGACATGGGTTAGGCTAACAATCATTTAAAGAATTTGTACTTGATAAAGTGGTTGACATATGGTGCTTCGTAAATAATCAAACTAACTCAGCCTACTTCTGATGAGGGCTAGACCAGCATTAAACTAGGTTGCTTTAAAGGTAAAGACCAGTATTGGAAAAGCCCAAATTTAAAAAAATGAAATGGAAGCTCTTATTACCAATCATGTGAAAGAATATGTTTTGACTAATACATGATGATAAAAAAATTGCCAGGAAACCGCCTACTAATGGATATATTTGGTAAATTAGTTTATCTATTGGTGTGTGAGAGATAAACGCACGTGTCGCGCACGTGTGCGAAGTCCCATAAACATCTTTCTGTGTACAGTGCTTGTAACTTTACAAAGACTGGGCCAAATTTCTTATCATTTTGATGATTCCAGAACCTTGCAGTACAAACCAATACTTATATGCTAGCTGATCAACCTTTTCTGATCGATTCCACGACGTTTTTTTCACAATGCAATTGCATGACCATAACTGGTCTTTACCTTTAAATAATAAAATAAATAGAATTAGTATCAAATCCTCTACTAAAGCTGTTTCATCTAGAGCATAGGGTCAATAAACTATTGGATAGTAAAATGTATCAGTGAAAAAGGGTACTATGTTGGAAAAGCTCATATCTCAAAGTTCCTATCAGCTGCAAGAGCCAGAAAGGTGTTAGCTCTATGGGAACATATATATACACAATGAAACCTGTCTATAAAGACCACCCAAGGAGGCAAGAAAAGTGGTCTTTATAGGCAGGTAGTTACATGTATATATGAAATAATAAAAATGTAAACCAAAAAATTTACGGATATCAATAAAAACAAAAAATGTATTTCAGGAAGTACAAAACAAAACATGGCAAATCATATATACACTGTAATAAAGAAAAGATAGATGAACAGCAAGATCATCCAATGATGCTTCTGCAAAATGACATGCAAAAAGTAAAACAATCTGATCCATAGTTTAGGTATCTTTAAAAAGAAGCAACTCGAATAAACAGTTAAAGATATGCAACTTTTCACAAGTCAAGAATGAACAAAGGACATCATATATTGAACAAACTAAAATGATAAAAGAAATAATAAACAGGATACATATAAAGAAAAAACTCATATGAAACAAAATCATAAGAACCTTAGCATGCAAAATGTGGATTTTTCATCTGTGCGTTAATATTCAATGATATCTAATGCAGAAATTCAGCGAAATGCTTCATTTCTATATGGCAAAGTGTTTGTATCTCCTTCCTTAGTTCACTATAGTTGTAAAGAAATCATTTATATATAAATAGCTTGATAGCAGATCTAGTTCCTACATAAAGCTATTGTTTACATCTACATTGGTGCAAACCCAATACATAAATGTGACAGTTGCACTCAATTGTATGAATGCATCCTCCCCGGGCCCCAGCTTTTTAATAACAGTAATATACAACATGGTTTTTTATTACTATATTTTGTTAACTAGGTGATAATAATAATAGTAATAATAGCTTGTTCTTATATAGCGTTTTTCAGAACCACAGGCCCTCTCAAAGCGCTTTACAGATAAGTATATTATTACCCCGGTCATTGGATTCAGGCTTACCCGCACACAATATATGCACATTCTCCACTCCATGGGGAGCATTCCAGCCAGGCGTCATTTTTACAAGTGCACTGTATTATTTATAAAGTGTTTTCTACTTTAATCTATTATTCTTAGAGTTTTCTTTATATGACCAGAGGGTATATGCGGATCCTACTAAGGCATTTACAGTGCGCAGGAAAGCATATGTACATGTATTTGTTATTTTTTAATGATATTAGCATTTATCTTGTATTTCTACTTATGAAAGAATGTGCTTTCTCAGTGTTCTAAATTTGTGGACTGTGAAAAAAAGTGATAAATATGAATTCAACCAACAAAACTACAGTTTACACTGAAAATTACCCTAATCTAGATTGTAAAAACATGCACAAGAGATACTCATTCGAGGCGCAACAAAAAGAATTGTGGTTTGTATCAGAACAAACGTCCATTGGTGTTTTCTTTGTTAAGTACTATTCTTTTTATTTTGTCTAGAAAGCTATTTGCAAGATATATGTGTTTGTGTATTTAAGGTAATAGGTCCTGTGTTAATATTTTACATGTTAATATTTTACGTGCACAGATTATACATTGGGGCAAGATGCACTAATTGTTCAATCGGTTCGTTCCTTTCTATGAAGAACAGACATATGTACAGTACATTGTACACTCATGCAATGTCCATCCTAGACATACTATCCTCAGAAAGGGTTGACTGGAAATAGGGTGGGGTTAATGATCTTGTGGTGGGTTAGTATAATTAATGATAAATTATATACATGTCAGTAAGGGGAGGAGTTTGGTTACAAGGGGGTGTGGTTTGTTATAGGTTGCTAGGTAACTTACAAAGCGCTTTCGGCCACACTCCTGTGTGTAGACGAAACCGAGGAAGCCCGGGAGATGAAAGAATTGAAGACAGAGAAAGTTTAGAGGTCAAAGGTTAAAAAGGGAAATTAATCACTCAAGTTTCATGGTCTGTCAAAAGGAATTATTGTGCATTCAATGTGCATGATGTTTGAAAACACCCCAACATCCCTCAAGCCCCCCCCCCCCCTTCATTTTTGTTGCTTTGTGTATTTTACAGGTTTCAATTGGAGCTTCTCCCTCTACATCGAATTATCATTTCAGAGAAATGAAAGTGTGCTTCAAAAAAGGAAAAGACATAAGTAAATTTGTGTACTGAAGATTGATTTTACAATGACTATAACTATTGATGGAGTTCAATTGTTCTCTTCAACAAAATGGAGATAATACGTCGATAAATTGAACATTGAATTGAAAATTGAAAAAAATGCATGTATGCAAGAAAATAATTACAAATAATCTGAAAGACATAATGGAGTTATAGGCAGAACTTAGGATCGATCCATATTTTATTTAAGGGGTCATTTCAAAAATAAATATCGATCCTTGAAAAGTTTTGTGACATTTTTACTTTGTTGTTAAACGTACAAGTACAAACATGTAGATTGCACCCAGTACATTATGTATTATAATGACCTTTATCTGTGTATATGTTCTGTTTTTTACCCTAATTCCTTACCCCAGTTGTCTGGAAATGCACTTAAAATCGTGAAAGTGGAAAAACTTCTTATAGAGAATAATAAAGATACAGAAATGTACCAACACCGGTACATAATACAGCGCAACACATGGACATACATAAATGCAACATTTAATAGTGTGATGAATTTTTAAAAAGAGAGGAAACAGAAGAGGCAGATGATGCGTTTAAGAACAAGAACAAATTATGCTTGCCTCACAATAATGCGATATCCAAGATTAGATTAACAATATTTACACTGACAGATATGTAATGCACATTGAGTTAAGAGCTGGAGAATTGACAGCAAGCAAGTGTGCTTTGTTACAAACTTGGGAAGAATTTGCAATAAGGTGAATACACTGTATAATGAAAGAGGAGTTAACACTGATACTGAAGTGCAAAGGACAATACATGAATAGAGGATTTCTGGGAGTTTGGAGATGGATTAAATATATTTAAATCCATATATCGTTGACTTTAATGCTTGTGGCCTATTATCACTTGAGTAGTAATTCAATATTTACACCTGTCATTTAGGCTAAGTGAGGGGGGGGGATCAATTTCATAAATTATTTTTTACAAATCTGAAGTAGAAGTCCTTATAACATTCAAATTGTGTTTATAATTGAGAAACAACAACAACAATTCAAATAAATGTACATGTATCTATCCTAAGCCTAAAATTTAGATGTACATATCACCCAAAAGTAATTTCTGCCCTACTCATTAGATATAAAGGCCCTCTATACATTAATGAAAACTAAAGCCACTTTGATGTTCTTGTTTGATATCCTACATTACAAGTATATGAACTATTTTATCTGCAAATCAATCTGACAATCAAAGTAGTCCGTTTTCACGCGTCAGGTCTGAAAACATGTGCTAACAGATACAAGGTCCTGAGAGAAAGCTTAGCTTAGTGACATGAAAGGCGAGAAAAGGATGCTTTCTGCTGCTACTCTGAAGTTCTGGGGGGTGTTTTCACAAAGATCTTGAGTTGAACTTATCTCTAAGTTAGACTTAACAATTATGGAAAGCCGTTAGCATCTATGAAAATATTTTATAACAGTTATTGTAAAAGGCATAAAATGTGGATTCAAATCAAATATATTTTCTATTATCAAGGAGATTTCATGTTCTTGAAGTGGAATTTATAAAAAAATCTAAAAAAGTTGAATTTTTGCTTTTGAATATATTTTGTTTTAAGGCTACAAATGGCTCTCCATAATTTTTAAGTCCAACTTAGAGTTAGGGTCGACTTAGGATCTTTGTGAAGCACCCCCCCTAAGGGAATATGGACAGAGAAAAAAAGAGAGGATACTTACGCAATATCTGTCATGCGCCTCTCAAAGTCGTCTCTCTCCGAATGCAACCTGTCTACGAGCGCTTGGAGCTCTGCGATTTCATCTCGCAGCTCCGAGACGAGCTTCTTCTCGTTGCTGAGGGAGGCCCCAAGCTGGGAGATCTTCTGGCGCTCGACGGTGAGCGAGGTCCGGAGATCGTCGGCCAGGATCCGCTCCTGTCTGAACTTGTGCTCCATGGTTTCCACTGTGAGAGATAGAGAGGTAAAGGAAATAATGAATACAGCAGAGATAAGCTGTAGATACAGGACATATATGAGAACAGTCAAACCTGTCTTTAGTGGCCAACTCTCTACAGTGTGAGTCCAAAAAAAGTTTATTCCTGGAAAATTGCTAATTATTTAAAAAATCATCTATGAACAGTAAATCATTATACATGTTATGAAAGAGTGTTTTATCCCAAATCATTTGGTATCATTTTTATGTGGTATGTGTTCACGTTTGGATGAACAGGAGGCATTGTTTGCGAGAGTGCAAAAATTGACTTGCGCCAAAGTGATGCCTACAGTATGTATTATGTTGGGTTTCGCAGAGTGAGAGAATGAATTGAATGTATCAAATAAAATGCATTGCAGAAGCAAAGTCACACACAAAGTAACATACAACTTGTCATTTGTCACTGATGACAATTTTTGTGAAACGCCCCCCAGAAACGTGTATAACGACTCACATTGCCTCTTGAATTGCTTCTCTCTGTTTGAACTCTGCTCCTCAAGGGCGCTCAACTGCTGCGTTGACCTCTGGCGTATCTCCTGGAGCTCGATGCGCGAGGCGTTGTGGTTGACCCGAAGGTCGTGAACCTCGGTGAGGAGGGAGGCACGGTCCGCCCCATAGATCTGCTCCATGGCTGCTTTGTGATGAGTCTCCTGCAAATATTAAAGATATAGAGGATTTGAATGTATACAGACAAGGTCTTTGAAATTGGGCTCCTTTTTATACGCAGAGATGCCAACCTCTTGACACAAAAAAAGCAGAAAACAGAATGAATAGCCTTTTAAAAAAAAAAAAATCATATTTTCACAAAAACTTGACACTACAACTGGCCCAATGGTCCTGTGCCAGTTAAATTTCAGAAAAATGTTTTACTGGTAAGAATGGTCAAGTAAAATGTTTGCTCCGTCATTAACATTTAATGAGAAAAATGTAAAGCAATTTTTTTTGGGGGGTTGCAGGGGTTTACCTGTACATGTTTCTATGCGATTCCGCAGTTTTAATGGGGTTTTTGTGGGTTATCAAATCTTTTTAATTTTTTTAGAAATTTTTGATAAGATGAAAAATCGTAGTTCAAGAGGCGATATCGTATTATCGTATTTCACTCTTATTATCGTACTAAATACGTTAAAATCCTACCGGTTGGCATCTCTGTATACCTCTCATAACAATTGTCTTTCTCATAAAATTCCTTACACATTCTATCCACACATATCACCTTGTGGATGTGCAAATAACTTTTAATTTTTTTTTTTTTAACAAGTGTATAACTCAAATATGATTCTTAACATTTGGACTGACCAAATATCCCAACAGGTTCTACGAGACATGCACCGGCAAAAATGGTCCCCAGATGATTTCTACTCTCAACCGAATTCCTAACTGCGACCAATTCACATCATCCCTCTTCCTCGTCCTTACCTGTTCTCTAATCCTTCTCTCTAGGAGCTGAACTTGAGAGAGATCCTGGTCTCCGCTGGCTACCACGTGTGTTCTAAGCTCGGCCAGGAGGGACTCCCTCTCTTGATCAAAGACGGCCTGGATGGCCCTCAGAAGGTCTCCCCTCCAGTCTAGCTCATCATTCTGGCAAGATAGAAAATAAAATTAAAGGGATTGGGTAACTTTGTCTCAGATTCTGAAATGAAATACTGGAGTTAGCTGATGCTGCAATGATAATTATAAACCTTCAGTCAGGTACCCCATGACATTTACAAGCCGATCGCCTGTCTGATTATCAAGATATTTATGATTAGAATTACAAATTTTTAAACCGTTTGCCAAACGGTTTTTATAACACTACAGTCTATTGGGGAAAACGAGTATGGTAAAACCGGTCACTCAAAGATTTTTTTACTTTTTTGAGGCATTTCTTGATCATTTTGAAGCGCAATTTTTTTTGGGCTTCAATATTACACCATATCACAGACACTGATAATAGGTAGGGCCATGCATTTCAGATTTAACATTGTTAAACGATGCCTTTAAGGTCACATTACATACAATGACTAAAAAAAGGACATTGTAAAATTGAAAGTGATTCAGCTACTTACCCTAAGACCAGTAGTGGTGTGCGTGACCAAGTCTTTCATGGCCTGTATAGCATCCAGGAGTGCCTGCTTCTCGTTCTCCCATGCATGCCGCAGAGAGGCCACGTCTGTGCCCCTGCGTGCGCCAGGGTGGGGTGAGGTAGCTTGGCGTAGGTAGCGAAGGTCAGAGAGGGACAGGACCTGCAGCCCATCGCTGTGAAGTCTGGCTAGTACACTCTGTAACAAAAGGGCGAGTTGGTACATTAAAGAGAAGGTTGAGTTCTGGGAACAGGTAACAAATAATTTGTGAACATTATAATTGTATAATGCAAGTGTGGCTCTTCTGAAAAGCATGGCTCTTCAAATGCCTTAAAATAACGGGATAGTTGAGTTCTGTTTTTTAGACCGCAAATCCCTTCAAAGTGCATGGTTATTGCTCTTATTCTTCTATGACATTTATAGTGCCCTTTTAGAACCTACAATTGCTATGAAGGTAATTTTAGACCCCAAAATGTGTGAAATATAGCCAATACGATCATTCCAATTCAGCTCCACTTTCAAAAAAACACGTTGACCGTTAGTTAATTATTTAATTAAAAATGACAATACATGAGCCGTTTAATTGTGGGTTATATAAGCAACACAAAAATACCAACAAAAAAGCCAACATCGGCATTGGCTGAAATACAACGTAAAAGGCCTTATTTCGTTTCTTTCAATGGTTTTTTCAAATTTTTCAAAATATCCAATATTTGTTGTGGTACACAAGTATTAGAAATTGTTATATTTCAGCCGTCTCTGAACCGAATTTTGATCAAACAAAGATGATTTTGTCATTTAAATATTATGTTATTTCAAATTTGACACTCAGTTTTTCATTATCTCACAAAAAAATCATTTTGTGTAGCGCCCTCTGCAACAGAACTCAACTATCCCTTCAATATTCTAAAGATGTCATGTAACATCATAAAAATCCATCCTGATTTTTATACCACACTTTCTAACATGCGTTAAACAAATAGATAAGCTTCAATTCTGACGTACCTGCAACCTGGGCGGGATCTCTCCATTGCCATTGGTCATATCAAGATCTGACGAATCACCGTTGGTCATGGACCCCTCCCCGGGGGGCTGCTCTCTGCCTACCCCACCCTGGCGACGTCTCAGGTGACCCAGAAGGTTGGAGTCCAATCTGGCTGTGTTCTCCACCTCCTTGTGCAACAGGTCTCCTACTTCTGGGATAAAAAAGAGCAATAACAAATGATGTGAGTTGGTCTAGCGGCACATTCGCTCGGTCAGCTCGCTGTCTTTGCCTACAAACTGGCTCAGGCGACCCCGGTTCGAAACTGAGTCACGTCTTTCGGATGGTGACGTTAAAGGTCGGTCCCCAGATGTAAATAATCATATCTGATTGATACACTTCTGTAAAAACCTAATTACACACACACACACGCGCGCTTTCACCTTTATATCTTTCAATCTGCAGTGAAACCTGTATAGAAAGACCACTCAATGGAGACATAAAAAGCAGTCTTTACATGCAGGGGGTCTCTACATGTGTATGTATAGGTTCTTTTAGGCCACACCCTAGTGACAAACACTATTCAAGGGAAACAGAAAATGTGGTCTTTAAAGACAGGTGGTCTTTCTATGCAGATGGTTGCTGAAGCATGTTTCACTGTATCATGTTATTTCTTTAAGCAGATTTAATCTGGCCAAATTGTTTTCTGGGTTATTTCTGGGACTGCTAACTTTTGAAGCAACCGGGATATGAAGAAAACACAAGTATCTACATATCAAATCAGAACAATTACCAGGTAATTATGTGTATATAACAAACATTGCAAAAAAGCAGGAAAAAACACTCTGAAACCTACATATAGGAGAGGCAAGGTACAGGATCTATATACTATACAGAGGAAAGGCAATAGGGTGAACAAAAGGGAAAAGGAGGGTGAGAGAACAAGAGAAAAATAGAGAGAGAGAGAGAAAGAGAGAGAGGGGGGGAGAGAGAACGAATAAGAGAGAGAGAGAGAGAGAGAGAGAAGGGGTGAAAAAAAAGAGAGTGATGTTAGAAAGATGTATGTACATGTGGCATCTTTCGTATTTAAGAAAGGTTGAACAAAAAACAAAGCTTTGATGAAAGTCACATCCAATGGTATCTCACCTCCAAGTGTGCTGACGTTGATAGGCGTGGCTGCGGCTAGTCTCTCCATCTGCTTCCGATGTTCCTCCTCAGTCCTGGCCTTCTCCTCTCCATGAGCCACCAGGAGATCTTGGTTGGTCTTCAGCACGGCCTCGTGGACCTGCAATGATTTCAATTTAAAGGCACCGTTTAACAATGTTCAATCTGAGATGCACGGCCCTACCCGTTATCAGCATCTGTGATATGGTGTAATATTGAAGCCCTAAAAAAATTGTGCTTCAAAATGGTCAAGAAGTACCTCAAAAATGTAAAAATCCTTGAGTGACCGGTTTTATCATACTCGTTTTTCCCGAATAGACTGAAGTGTTATGAAAACCGTTGTGAAAACGCAAAATTTGGTTTCGATTTTCAATCTTAACTATTTTGATAATCAGACAGGCGATCGGCTTGTAAAAGTCATGGGGTTCCTGACTGACCTAAAGGTTTATGATTATCATTGCAGCATGAGCTAAACCCAGGATTTTGTTTCAGAATCTGAGACAAAGTTACTGGAGCCCTTTAATGTATTAGTAATATAGAGGGTGCTGTTGCTATTGCTGTCTAGCAAGCACACTTAAAGTGCCCAGCAGAGCCAGATACCAGAACTATGTAAGAAACCATCATTAACATCATCATCATCACCATCACCGCCTTCATCATCATCATCATCATCATCATCATCACCACCATCATCATCATCACCACCATCATCATCATCATCATCGTCCTTGTCATCATCATCATCACCATTATCATCATCATCATCACCATTATCATCATCATCATGACCATCATATCAAAATTTATAGCAGAAAACCATAAAATAAACTACAAAGCGGTGTTCTGGTGTGCTCATCAAAGAGCTGTATCTAATGAGCATGCTCAATCTAAGTTTGCATAACACAGAGCTCCCCTCATTGTTCCTGGTGTGCTCTTAGAACAACTATCCTAGTACAAACACCCCTTCATCATCTACCTCAAAAATAACTCTGGACAGCTACCCCAAAAATCTTTCAACAACCAATGCCAATGAAGGTTGTCCTCTAAACTACAGTCAAACCTGCCTTAGTGACCACCTGTCTACAAAGACCACATTTTTGTTTCCCTTGAAAATGGTTTCTCATTGAAACATGTACTAAATGAACCTGTTTACAAGAACCACTTTTTGTGTTTCCCTTGTGCAGTCGCTATAGACAGGTTTAACTGTATATCAAAGTGGATAGCAGATGAGAAACATGAATATACATACCTGTGTTCTGGTGCGTTCGTCAAGGAGCTGTATCTGGTGAGCATGCTCCTTCTTGATCTGCTCGATACGAAGCTCCGCCTCCTTGTTCATGGTGTGCTGGATGTCGGCTACATGCTGCTGGTGCTGGCGGGTAAGCTCCTCACGGATCTCATTCAGTTTCTGTCGGGTCGGACAAGGATATGAATTTGTTTGAACATTCTTACTCCGATATTCACATTTTAGTAATTTAAATGCACATTTCATCAAACTGCTACTAGGAAAAAGTTGAACACAAATCCTGAAATTGGTGGACTTCTCTATATTTTCAAATTAGGGATTTATACTTATATTATCATTCCGCACTTACAAATTAATCTACTTATTTCCCCCTTTTTCTCTTTTATTCAAATTTATATGCATTCATGACAAGTTTAGGATTACAGTATCATTATTTGAGGGATTCACTTCTACAAGCTCTGCTTTTCAATGAATCCCTCCATTTCCACAGTTTTCACTTTAAAAAAAAAGAAGCATAAATTCCGGCAAATGTATATATTCTCTTTGTGATTCAATTAATGAAATGTAAAATGCATTTTATTAATGTACATTAGTTTCTGTGATTGACTTCTTGTCATAACTGTTTATATTTATAGTTCTGTTGTAAATGAAAATAACACTGAAACTGGAATTATATTTTTGTGGCAGTTGCTTTTAAATGAATCCCATCATACATGTACCAACAAGTCTCAGATGATGTCGCAATAGTGACAGAGTAATATGAGTACAGTTCAAGCTAACTGCGCATCACAACTGATCGGTCACCGCACTTATTTGACAAGGCAATACTTAGCACTTCAAAGCCCCATTTCACAAAATTTGCTATCAATGATTCCAAAAGAGTCTCTAAGGGTGGAACTAAAATCAATCCTGACCTGTCCTAGCGTCTTCCCAGGAGAGAGTCCCTTCAATCCTGCCAGCCTCCTCTGATAGTCGGCCTCCATCAGAGAAGCTCTACTCCTCTCCTGGTTGAGCTCCTCCTCCAATGTCTTGAGCGCCTCCTCCAGGGCGGGGCTAGCCGGGATGGGCGTGGCCTCTGCAGGACTCCTTGCCTGCTGCTGTTGCTGCTGAGACTGGAAGGCGGCTTCCTCTATCCGATCCATCTCCACCTTCAAGTTCATGATCTCAAGCTCCTTCTCCTGGTTTAGACAAAACAAAATATACCGATAGAATGTTGCAAAATGTACGTTCACTGTCACCACCAGATATAGTGGAAATACCATTAATGGGTGTAAAAGACTCCCACACTGCAAACCTGTGGTCCCCTTAAGAAATACCCCCAAGTATTTCAGGGAATTTTGGGGTGAGGAAATGTAAGATGCTGACTTTACCATTTAGGAAGATGGGTGGAATATGCAGAGCATTACACAAGGCCTCTTGGTCATAAAACTGAGCCTAATCCTAGTGATTGACAACACCTGATATTTGGAACACCCAAATGGTGTCGAACCTACAACGAGAGCACACTAGAATGCGTCTTTTAATCTGACCCTTCAAACACATATTCTCTATCCATCTTTTCTCAACACATGTCCTAGGAGTAAAAAGTACAACCCTGATTTTCTTCATATGTCTCTTGGGCCCCCGTTTCATAAACCTTGTTATCGATAACAACTGCAACAGATATATGACAAATCTGGTCATAGCCAATCAAATTTGAATATTTCAGTAGCTTATAACAATTATTTTATCTTGTCATTGATAACAAGTTTCATGAAACAGGGCCCTGCTTCATTTTGCTCTCCTTCATACTGTACTTCTCCAATTGATAAGTTGTTCGCTTAAAGGTATTACAAAGTTTTGGTATGGGGTCATGAATTTGGTTCAAATTAACATATTGGAAGCGTATGCGTTCCTACAATATTCATTGATCGTTGTCGCGGTTGAAATCGAGTCTAAAGTTATGAAATTGTAAATAATAAACTTCTTATGTTGTATAGCTCTCTCTCAAGGTCAAGATATTAATTTAGCTATGAAACGATATTTCTTGACTAAAATCAACCGATTAGCTATTCCCATTTGGAAATTATATATCACAACTACGTATTCTGAGATTTTCACGGTCGCAGCTACCATTGTACGGCCATAGGCGCTATTTGAAATTTATCAAAATTTACCGGGAGCACCGGTAAATTTTTATATTCAATTTTTCTTGAAAACGGAAGTGTTTTTAGGGGCTATTTTTTTTAGTGCTTATAATACATCAACAGGGGCATCCAAATATATCAAATTGTAAGGATTCACTATCCACCCAATTTTCAAAATTTCCCAAAACTTTGTATTACCTTTAAGCATTTATCATGGAATACTTTTAAATTTAGCCATACTGAGCCTGCACTAAAAACTTCAATAAATTAAATTTTCCCTTCAGAAAATTTTCAATCATACATTTACCCTAGATATAATAATTGAAAATATGTTTTTTTTTAAAATCTATTCTGTTATCGATTGTTAAGAAAATGAAAGTTTATGAAATATTCAAATTGGAATTGCCCATTTTCGTTTGATTCATTGCAACTTCAAAAATGCATGACTGTTTTATTTTTCATAGGATATTGCTCAAACTTTTAAAGATATGTTTCTCTCATTCTTCTCTCAATTTTCTGCTTCTATTAAACCAACTCAATATCAGGGTGGACTTCCCCTTTAAATGAAAGTATATATCGTACCTGTATTGTTTTCTGGAGGTCATTATTGTCCAGTTGAGATGCTTCCTCCCCCTGGGATAAGGCCTGCTCTTGGGTCCTGACTAGCTGTGCCTCCAGCTGTGCAACCTCCCTCTCACGTATCCCCATGATCTGTCTCAGGGAGGCTACTTCTTGCTCAAGTTGTTTCTACCATTAAAAAATTAAACACAAGGGAGTGTGAGCAGTGATCAAACTTGCTCTGAAAAGCTCTATAGGAGCTCTGGTAAAAATAAGAGACCAAACTTTCAGGCAAGGAAATTCCCTCTTTTTCTGAGGCAAATGAAAATAGAGCTCCTTTGAATGAAACAATTTGTTAGTTGCTTTATACGGAGCGATTCTTAAGATTGATTCAGCACGAACATGATGTGGAATGAAAATAAACACCTGTATGATTTATATCTTCATACCTTCAAAATATGCACGGTGGGTTCACAAACAAGTACCATGTGTATGTCATTGGTACTGCATGTAGTAACACAGACATGCTTCAACATGTATGGCATGCTCAGGCAACAACTGCTCTATATATAGTCAATGTCTTTACAGGAATTGATTTCCTAATTTTCAACCTGGACTCTAAGCTACACTAAATACCTAACCCCATTCCTGACCCTAATCTTAACCTAAAACCAAAGGATAACCAAACCCTAACCTTTACCCTCGATGCAATAAAGCCTAGAGTAAATGTTGCCAGTGCAAAGGTCAGTCATGTACATGTATATGCCATTGGCCTTCAAAAATTTGTTCTTTCTGCCTTAGTATTTAAGGTTTCTTTTAGTGCATGATTAAACAGCACTTTGCTTTACAGTTATCTCTCTCTTGCTCCCCCCCCCCCTCACTATCTTTCGCCTTTTCTCTCTTTTCTCTCACTATCTCTCACACATTGTTCCCCCCCCCCCCACCTTCTTTCTCTCAATCTCTCTCTCTCTCACACACACACACACAAATTTATTATCTTTCTCTCTCTCTCTCCCTCCCCCTCTTTCTTCCTCTCTCTCCCTCTATCTCTCACACATACACACACACACACACACTGTCCATCTCTCTCTCTTTCTCTCTCTCACACACACACTCTCTCATCACAACTACAGTGCGTGCTTCACTCACCCTCTGTTGTTCCTCATCCTGTGTATGTTGCCTCATTCTATCGATGACCTCTTGAACTGCAGGGTTGGACAGCGCGTTGCTCTGGTCTCTCTCACCGAGTTGCTGTCTAAGCATGGAGATCTCCTGGTCCTTCGATGCCACCTGACTCTCCAACTCCAAACGAAGCTCATTCTATTCAAGCAGAAGAGAGAAAGAAATGACAGTATTAGTCATAGTTACTATAATTGTTAATGACGATGATGATGATGGTGGTGGTGGTGGTGGTGGTGGTGGTGGTGGTGGTGATGATGGTGATGATGATGATGACGATGATGATGGTGAATGGGGTTTTAATGAAAAAAATGACGCCTGGCTGGAATGCTCCCCAGGGAGTGGAGAATGTGCATACATTGTGTGCGGATAAGCCTGAATCCTATGACCGGGTAATAATATATATATATCTGTAAAGCGCTTTGAGACGGCCTTCGGTCCTGAAAAGCGCTATATAAGAACTACATGTAGCTATTATTATTATTATTATTATTATTATTATTAAGAACAGGATACACAACTGTAACAAAGCTGTTTAATTTTTATTTTGAATTGTCTTCTTTTTTTCCTTTTCTTTTTGGTCATTTTGTTTGTTTTTCTTTTTGTACTTTATAGAAAGAGCTCTTATTGGGAAATAAACAAGGAAAGGAACTGTAGACGATGATTGTCCTACGTAGACATGCACTGTATTGATGTGTATGTATTACATTTTGACTCCAAACAAGGCTTATTATCTTTTGGAAACAGTAGGAAATAAGGGTTTCCTGAAACTTCAGGTTTTAGGCTACATTTACTTCACGCTCATAAATGAAAAGTAAAGTCCAATCTCTCTCTCTCTCTCTCTCTCTCTCTCTCTCTCTCTCCCTCCCTCCCTCCCTCCCTCCCTCCCTCCCTCCCTCCCTCCCTCCCTCCCTCCCTCCCTCCCTCCTCCCTCCCTCCCTCCCTCCCTCCCTCCCTCCCTCCCTCCCTCCCTCCCTCCCTCCCTCCCTCCCTCCCTCCCCCTCCCTCCCTCGACCCCTCCCTCCCTCCCTCCCTCCCTCCCTCCCTCCCTCCCTCCCTCCCTCCCTCCCTCCCTCCCTCCCTCCCTCCCTCCCTCCCTCCCTCCCTCCCTCCCTCCCTCCCTCCCTCCCTCCCTCCCTCCCTCCCTCCCTCCCTCCCTCCCTCCCTCCCTCCCTCCCTCCCTCCCTCCCTCCCTCCCCCCCTCCCTCCCTCCCTCTAAAAGAAATGCTGTCTATAGTGTGATCTAAGTTCATGTGATCTGTTCATATGAATGAAACAATATTTTATGAGCAAGTTCCAATGTAATTCATGGGAAAGCTAAATATACAGAAAACCGATTGCAATACACAAATAATCTCTGCTTTATTTTGTATCCTATAGATCCACATACCAGCTCCTCTGCTTTCACGTCCTCATCGGGAGAACCAGGAGCCGCTTCGGCTGACCGTCTCTCCACCCGGATCGTCTCCTCCACCACAAGCTCCTTCTCCTGGTAGCGAACCTGCTGGCTCCTGGTCCCCTGCTGGTCAAGGCTGCTCTGAAGCTCCTGGATCTGGTGCTCCAGCTGATCTATCTCCAGGTTCTTCTCCTCCAGGAGCTCTTGGGCTAGCCTGGGCAGGGAGGACTGCTCCTGGTCTAGAGGTGGAGCCTGCAGCTCATCCTGTTGTGTTAAACATGAAACAAATCATATGTACATGATGCCCACGACAAACAATAATTGGTTTTTTGTTTAAACCACATGCCAGAAGTCATGCTGCTCAAACGATTATTAATCCCAATATCTACACCTGGCTGGAGTGTGGCAAACCTAAATTCAATCCCATTGCCCATTGATGGTGGTGGTTATTTTACCTGACTGCTAAGAAAGCGTAAAAGTACTTCCCAAAAGGCATAAGGCTTTTTTCACCCCTGGCTGAGTGGTTAAATAAATTGAATACAATACCTCTGATAACTTCCATCAATGATACTGTTCACACGCTATTTCCACAATGTTGTTTCACTAAGAGCCACACTGTCATCTTTTAATATATGAATCTTTAAAAACATTTATATAACATTCAAGGCAAGTCATCAACAACAACAAAAAATCAATTTCAAATCTTTTTACACAAGCACACAGAGTGAATGAGCGCACTTCTCATTCAGGATGACTGACATGGTATTTCGAAATATCTGGCTGAAGAATATGGAATATACATAGATTTGTCATAAGAAATATTGAAAATCACCTTTAATCTCTCATTCTCTGCATTTACCTGGCTAATCTCCTCCTCCATTTCCTCTCTATCTCTCTCTCTCTCTCTCTCTCTCTCCCATCCCCTCTCTCTCTCCTTCTTTCTTCCGTCTTATTCTCACAGCTCACTTGTCAATTCCCTTTTTAATGTATGCTACAATGCTCATCAGATTAGTCTGAATGAGCTTTAATTCACCTTTAATCTCTCATTCTCTGCTTTAACCTGGCTAATCTCCTCTTCCATATCCTCTCTTCCTGATCCTTGCTCCCTGGAGGCTACCCCCAGCTGGAGATTGAGCTGTGCGATCTCCTCATCCTTGTTGGTTAGATCCTCCCTGAACTGCTCTAGCTGTTCCACCAAGTCTTCGATCTAAGACCATTACAGGAGGAGAGAAGAATATATAGTTAGGTATATTGATACACTTTACCATGATTCTGAGCAGTCTCCCTGGTATGACATGTCTGTCATTCATTTATTCTCAATTCAAATGAGAACAGGAACAGTAGGTCACTCCAAGGAGAATGTGCAGTTTATAGTGGAGTGTTGGTTGGTTGTATCTGACCGCCAAGAAAGCGGCTTTAAGTCCTCTCTGAACTTGGTACTGAAGATTAACGCCCTACCAAAGAGCACTAGCACATTAACTTGGTTTTGAACCCTGGACCTCCTGGTTACAAGGCCACTGCGCTTCCACTAAGCAATCGCACCTCCTTTGAGTACAGTACCTGTAAACCTGGAATTTTCAGACATTTTGCATGTGGTCCAGAGGTGTGAAAAGTTTATGCCATAAAATATTTCAATCATAATATCAAAATGCAAAATGTTTTGTTTAACAGCAGAGCCCATATGAGAATCAAAACTATACTCCAGTATCCTGGTTACCAAGAACAGTCAACATAGCTAAGCAAGGGAAAGACAGGTGTCCTTACCTCTTTGTTATTCCTGTCCAATGCCTCCTTATCCTGCTCCCACTGTTGAGCGAGTGACATCGGACCCTCGTTGGTATCATCCAGCGACTTGGACGCGCCGGTAGAGGGTGCCACACGACTGTCCAGGCCGTGTTTATGAGCATCCAGCTTGGACTGGAGCGCCGAGATCTGGAGGAGTTGGTCGTAGCATTGCTTCTGGAGTGCCTCCTTCTCGTGTCTCATCTCTTCTTGGAGATGGAGGGCACCGCGTAGCTCGGCCTCCAGCTCGGAGACCCGCGCAGGCAGCTTCTTCTGGTCGTCGAGCTGGCGTTCTAACTCCTTGATCTGGAAAATATATAGACAGATAAGATTACAATTTTTATATATTCATATACTCCCTAAAGAGTGCTGTGAGTCCTTCATATCACACTTTGTTTACCATGTCAGGACGATTATTTGAAAACTGAGTAAAATGGCTATGTCTAAACATGCATCAATACATCAATAATTGGATCTCAGAGTTAACAACATACACGTATTTAGATATCTCTCTCCAGAAGAATTTAACATTTGAATGCTGTTTTACGCAAATACTGTGTATGAACTAGGGCGGCGCATGCCCTGTAGAAGGGAAGAAAAAATTTCCAAATATCTACACTGTTTAGTTTGATACAGAAGTTAATAAGCTATCGATGATAAAAATTTGGATATTGTAGGGAATAAATATGTTGCAATGATGTAGCTAAAGTATGGTAAAAAATGGAAAGTGCAGATTTTTCAAAATCCATTCACATGCTAATTTGCTGGTCACAAAATGATGTAAGAGGATTCTTACCTGTCGAGCAAGTTCCGTCACTGTGTCCTGCTTCCAAGAAACCTCCTTCTCCAGCTGTTGTATACGAGACACTGAATCAGTAGCAGCGCTCTGGGAGAGGCTGATCTCATCCTTTAAGTCTTGATTCTATGAAAGATAAATGATATATAAATTGATAGGTATAAGACACTTATAATCAATCAGTAGCAGCTGATCTCATCATTAAGTCTTCATTTTACAACAGACACATGAAATATGAATGGATAGGTACTGTAAGACACAGAATCGGTAGCAGCACTCTGGGACAGGCTGATCTCATCCTTTAAGTCTTGATTCTACAAACAGACAAATAAAATCAGAGCGACGAACACTGTCAGTACAATTCTAATGGGTCAATGAATGTTTGTAAGACCGGCAGATCCTGTCCTTTCCAAATTTATCCTACAACAGATGAAGCATGGTGCCTAGTTATCACTATAAAGGTAGTCAAAAAACATGTTTAAGCTAGCACTCTAACTAATGAATACATGTACATGTACAGTTAATGAACATGTATTTATGGTGAGCCTTAAAGTGCAAAAATGTAGCCCTAGACTTAGACTTAAATGGCAAGAGAGAAATAGCACTTACCACACAGTGTAATCAAGTAAATTCATAACACACTCCCAAGAATTGACAAGACTCCTAAACGTAAATACTGCACTAAAGTATTTCACAACAGTTCCTGTTCATCGTAATTTTTGAAAATCAACTACACGTTCAAAAGATACAAGTTCATTTTTTCTGGAAACTGAATGACAGAATCAACAAACATTGCATGCTTGAGTGCACAAGGTAAACACTGGGGTCCAAGGTACATGGACTATGACTAACTGGAAAAAACATCAATGAACTGTTATATTTGATCAGCTTCTTGGCTTTATTGTTTCCTCACCGTGAACAAAGTGTGCCTTCATTGATGAAGATTAAACAAAAGGTATTCCCTGGGAGGGTGGGAGGGAAGGGTTTGATGAATGGGTATGGTAAGACAGGATGTTCTATTGTTCAAAGTCTAATTGTCTGACACCAAGCCAAGTGCATGGGGCATGTCAGGGAGTTTAGAATGTACAGCATGAATGTGGGGGAGTGGGAGTGTAGTTGTTGGTCTGTGAAAATAAGTTTAGGTGTGATGATTCAGTGGTAGAGCAGTAACCAAGAGGTCCTGGGTTCAAATGCGCTTTTGAACTCTTTCAAAGGCATTACAGGTATTAATCCTTGTTACCAAGTCCCTCAGAGAGGACTTAAAGCTGTCAGTCCCCTGGTCGCTTACTTACAAGCATACATATGCTTTCTTAACAGTCAGGTAAAACAATCATCAAACCACCATCAATACAGGCACCTACCTTTACTTCTAATTACTTCTAATTGTGTATACCTTTAATTATCACTGTTACTGCATCTCTTATACACCTGCAAAACTTATTATCATTTAATGAATGCATTTAGTACAGGAAAGTTTGTTTTGTTTTTCTATTTTGCTGTCAAAGTAATTGCAATTGCTTTCAGGACAATGATTTACAAATGTTTGTCTGGTCATGAATATTTAGCGAAGCAGAGATGTAAGCAGTTTCAAAGTGATTCAGTGAATAAAGATACAAAGTAGAAAGCTCAATTAAAATTATACTATTTATATTATTTTTATGGGAATGATTTTGAAAGCAACTGCTATGCAAGTAAAATATGTAATGAAACCCTGATAATGGATATGTATCTTTATGAAGAATTCTGTAACTTACTTCTTTCTTTAGCTCTTCCAAATCCTGGCCTGGTTTCTCCTTCAGCTTCATCTCTTCTTCCAGGCGTGCAATCTCCCTCTGGAACTCTTCCCTCTCCTGTTCTCTGTCTGCTGATTGTTGCTATTCATGTGAGGGAGGGAATATTCTAAATTAGATAGCCGTTTGTCTCACATCACTCGGACCAGGGCTCCGTCTTATAAAGAGTTGCGATTGACCCAAATCAAATTGAAAGTCCTCAGTTTGAAAGTTTGCAGTCACCCATCTCTTTTATCAATCGCAATTCTTTATATCTCAACTTGAGGAGCTAGCCTTCATTCAAATATTTTGTGAGTTATATTTTAACTTACACCTTGAATCTTGAGTCCACTTTTGTCTTCTTGTTAGTATAATCAAATAGACTTGAGTTACGGAAGTTACTCATACTATCTAGCCCATGTCATATGTGTAAATGTTCGACTTTGCTAATCATTTATTTCAAAATAATGATCAAAACTTGATTTTGTGGATTTGATAGAAGGGTCACGATGACATATATTATTTACACTTATAACAATATTAGACCAGAGGTTCAGCAACCCACCTACAAGTTTTCAAAACTTCATTTGGTTAAATTGTACATAATAAAGCATAATTTTAAACTAATTTTGCGATAAAAGAGTGTCATTACTATTATATCACAAAAACTATCAATGAGTATTTGTGTCAGGTGTATAATTTCTAATAAACACTGGTACTGTCCATGTATCATTGGCCGATTGAAATGCATAATTACACAATGTAAACAAAAGATCATAAGAATACTCAATATTGCTACAGTATGTATAGGAATGTTAGCAAAGCTTTAAGTCATTAAAATCAGAGAAAAATTTGCAAATTTAGTTTACTATATTTGAAAGCAAAGGCAAACAAAAGCAAAAGATTTTAAAACATGCTTCCTTAAAAGTCTTAATATTTCAAAATAATTTTCTGTTCAAACTCAATTATAAATTTAATTCCTTGAAACAATAATCTATCATAACTATATTACCAATGATACAAATGAATATGAATATAATGCATTAAAAATCTTCACATGCACCCCAAAAATATGAAATGAAATGGAAAAAGGCAAGAACATCCCCCAATAAAAGTAGAAGTCCACAAGGTTATAAACAATGCTAAGGATAAGTTTTGGCAAAGACATGATGTTTTCCTCATGACTCATTTGTTTTGCAAGTTGGGGAGAGCCGGGGGAACAAACAAGGTAGTTTCACTTTTAAAAGGGTTGAATATTACGATGCATGTTTAAATGATGATCTTGTACACAACTGATAACAAAGCATGTGCTCTTCAATTTGGAGATGTGCATGTACAGTGGAACCTGCTTTTAATTAGCGACCACCTTTGTATAAAGACGACAAAGACCATATTTTTATATTTCCCTTGACAATTGTTCCTCATAGAAACCTGTACTAAAGGAACATGTTCGTAAAGACCACCTGACTTTAAAATAAACCCTTTTCTTCAGTGTTCTGTATATACCGGTACAGGTTTCACTGTATAATATAATGCATGCTTGCTTTTAGGTTGAAGGGGCAATGAACAAAGCTGATTATGATTAACTTTTCTGAATGTACTGCTGTTCAAACGTGAAAAACATGGCGAGAATACACATGAGGCTCTTTTCAGATGAACTTACTCCCTCTTATACGGATATAAGGAAACATTCAATTACAACTTTTTATTGGCTGTCAATATGAAGTGCACTAGGGCCCTTGTATAAAATTCATGATCAAACACAGCTCCAATCTTCAACTTCAACCAAACTAATCTTGAATTCACTACACGCATTTGATTTTTAAAGGTAAGTTTAATCGCAGCTTGATACGATGGAGACTTGTTCAAAATGATTGTTTTCCATCCTTAATTCCATTCAAATTCATTGATGTATTCATTTATACTTTTTGGAGGGAAGAACATTCACACAAACTCAGGGGATAAATCGCATTACAAACTGGCCTTTGAGTTTTCTTTTATATTTTTTTGTTGGTAAGAGACATGAAAGAATTTTTGACATCCTATCTTACTTTCTTTTAAATATAGGAAAGGAGAAGCACAGTACGCGATACAAGTACGCGATATAAAATCATCACAATTTTTGTATGTAGGATTTGCATTTGACTTTTGTATTTTTGTTTTAATCATAACTTTTTATGAGACGGGCAAGTTAAAAATGATTATTTTGCACCCTTTTTACACTGTAGGTAATGATGAGAGCCACATGATTGCAGGACATGAGCTGAGGCCTAAAAAAAAAGATGTTGTATTGCCATTTAGGTGCCAAAACATGGGTCGGTCGGTCGCAAATCTTTTTTTTTTTTTTTTACTTTATTTTTATTTTTTTATTTCTCTTTGAGCTGATATTTCTCAGTTTTGAATGCTTTAATGCATTTTTTTCTCTAAAAAACGGTAAAATTTTTTTTTTTTTAAATTAAAGAGCCGACCGTAGATTTCAAGATTTTGGGGTCGGTCGCAAAGGGCAATACAACATATATTTTTTTTAAGGCCTTATTAAAGCATGCATTTTGACAGAAAGCCGCACACCCCCTCTAAACACACCTCTAGGAACTGTTTGTGAGAGCTTTGCATCTTCTTGGCAGCATCCACCTGTCTCTGAAGATCCTCCGCCCTGAAGCGTGCCTCCTCCTCCTGCCTCCTGGCTCCAGAGATTTGCTCTTCGGTGCTCGTCTCCAGGGCCTGGACCTGCTGCTCCAGGTAGCTCTTGGTCTTGGCTGCCTGACGCTCCAGGTCCTGGTGCTCCACGGTCAGGGCCTGGACCTGGTGTCGCAGCTGGGTGTTCTCCTCTATCAAGCCTAAAAATTCAACCAACAAAGGTGTTTAATCGACAAAAAAATTTTTTTTTTGTAAGAGTCATAAATTAATGTTTCGCACCCAATCATCACTTTTCTTTTAAATAGGAAAGGAAAGCCCAGTAACTAGATGAGAGAATGACAATGATGTAGACTACATCCAGTCTTGTAAATGGCTAGAATTTATTTGTATGCTACAAGACCAAGCCTGTGAAAATATACTTGGTAATCATTGACTTACCATTGCTAGATTGAACTAAAGACATCAACATTTTGGATAACTTAAAAAATTATAACTTGCTCTGCTAACTGAAAATAATGTCCTGTCCTAAAATGTCCTACGATGTCACACAATGATTTTTGCTTTTCTATAAAAGCTCACCTAGATCTTCCAGGCCAAGTCGTTCTGCAAGCACCGCCCTCTGTTGTTCAAACTGGTCCTGCCCGTCCTGTAGGGCTTGGTTAGCATTGGTGGTCTCGGCCAGACGCTCTGATAGGGCCTCCATCTGGACGACCATGCCGTGGTGGCGCTCTCGGGCCTGCTGTAAGGCATCCTCCACATCCATCTTCTCAGCGGTGATGCCATCCAGAAGACCTACAGAGGAGGAATTAAGAACAACCAGAGAAAATTACAGACTGGTGTTGCTGAATGAGCTCCACAACAACCTGGTGTCACTCGACACAGCACCCTACATCGACCCTGTCACAGCCCATGCACATAGCATGGCACCATGCACCAGGCTCACGTTAAAGCACACACACACTCATCAGTCTGCAAGAATCTTCAACTGTCAAGGGGGTAGACTAAACCCAAAGAAGAAGAAGAACAGCCATGCTGACTCTACATGTGTGTACAATGTCATATGGTGATGCTTCTCACAATCCATAAAAATTCCAGGTTGGCTGACATGCTATTGGAAGGTTGGTTATAAAATCAACACACATTTAAATAGGATGTAAATTTAAAGAGATGCTACACAGTACCAAAGAAAGAGGTAAACCCAAGTTAAAACCAAGTGATCGATACTATATACCGATTATTACCCTGGCTTTAGCAAGGCTGCCATTACGGTGCTCCAGCATTTCAAGGAATTAATTCCTGCCAGGTACCCATTTACCTCACCTGGGTCAAGTGTGTAGATTAATGAATTGCCAAAGGACGTTAGACTAAAGAAAGATGTAAACCCCAGTTAAATAAAACCAAGCGACCGACACTTTATACCCATACACAACAGGATATAGATTGTTGATGAAGTACAATCTAAGAATTCAAAATAACCGACTTCCTACCGTCTGATTTATGGAGCTCCACTGCAAGTCTCTCCTTCTCCCTGATCTCCGCATGCAGCCTCCTGAGGAGATCATCCCTGTCTCCTGGTGCTCCTGCTCCTGCGCTCCTGGAGAGGGAGTCTTCCTCCCTGCTGGAGGCTGAGCTGGCGTAGCCCTCGGCCTGGACAGGACGGCGCTGGTCAGACTGGGTGCTGGAGTCTGAGAACTGGTCCAGCAGCCGTTCGACTGCCGAGTGGAGTCTCGTCGTGGCACCTGGAGCAAAATGAAAAACAATTACTAGTATAAAGAGCTTTGATAGAACTGTCATTTAATGTTTATCCTAGTTGCTCAGCTGAGAATCCATGCACAAATATTGATAAATATTTCCAGTTTTTCCACATGTACTAACTCGCAACAATATTGTAGAAATAGCTACATGTACACTGTATATCCAATTAATGCATAGAGCATTACATTCCTCAAAATGTTCATACATGTATATACATGTACATGATGTCAATCAAATTCTTTGTATTAAACCACAAGCATTTCTCAAAAAAAAACATAGAATTGAATAACAAAGCACTGAAAATAAGGCAATTTTGTAAACAATAAACACGGTAATAGGTCGTTGCTGTATAAAGCATAAGGTATCCTCACTAAATGTTTGCACAAAAAAATGATAAAATAGTAAATAGTTACATGTAAATTCTGGATTAGATATCACTTGATCCATCCATAAGGTTTCTACATGCTTTACAGACCGTTGTATTGGATAAGATCAAAACACAAGTTCTTTAAATAAATCCATCCGTATATAGCTAATCTCAAATAAAATCATAGGTTGAACATTTTGGGGAATTTTTTTTTGGAAATCTAGCTTGTGAATTTCCTCCTTTTTACTCTAGCCTCAAGCCTGGTTATTTTATTTTTACTCTCGATTGACCAGAAACTCAGATAAACATCTAATTTGCGCTTGGGTGATATATAACTTGTGGCAAAAGTCCCATAGATGCTTTGATATTTTCAGATGAAGAATGAAAATACAGAGACTTTAATATCTAACAAAAATTTTGACGACTCATGAATTAACATCAGAATAAGTTTCTAAAGTTTCTTGACAGAGAAGTAATGCAAAAGTATGATGTATATTATTCCATAAAACATGAAAAACTACAAAAAAGTCTGTTTTGTTTCTACACAATAGCAGAAGACTACAAGTTAAGTACCCATCATCCTTTTGCAAGGAAAAACTGTTCAACAAAATAACAATATGCTCTTCATCATCAAGGGAGCTACATGCATATGATATGTCAAAACTTAAACATCATGTGTAAACACGTTAACCCCTTTATTTGGAGGACAATATAGGTAATATGAAAGAAGGAAGGTGTAAAGAAGGAAGAGGAAAGGAGAAATGGATATGAAAGAGCAGAGGAGAAAGAAGAAAGAAAGTTAGAGGGGTAGACAAGCAGAAGAGGGAGAGACAGACAAACAGACAGACAGACAGAAAGTGGGAAGAGAGAAAGAGAAAGAGAGAGAAAGAGAGAGAAAGAGAGAGGGGAGAAAGAGAGGGAGAAAGAGAGAGAAAGAGAGAGGGGAGAAAGAGAGGGAGAAAGAGAAAAAGAAAGAGAGAGAGAGAGAGAGTGTGAGAAAACAAGAAATAGAGGGACACAAGAGTAAAAGAAAGAGGAAAATAAAGAGAAAGAAGAAAAAGAAAAACAGAGCACAATACAGAGAGGGGGCAACAGGAGAGAAGCAAAGAGAGGATGACAAGGAGAAAAGAAAGACAATGCACAAGGACAAAGCAAGAACAGAATGAAAGAAAATACAGATGAAATATATCTAACAAGTAGTGCAACACCCTCTTCAAGGACTCTACACGAGCATTCACAAGCTGGTTAAATTCCCACACCAGGAAACCTAGTACACTCCCCAGGACTCACACAGGAAGCTAAGCTACCCTAGATCGCCCCCTAGGTCACCCCCTCACCAGTCACATGACTCACGCCTGCTCTCTCTCTCTCTCTCTCTCTCTCGCTCGCTCGTCCCTCATATATTGGCTAGCAATCGTTGGATAATTTTATGTATTAAAGGTAAAGAAGTGCTCTCTCTCTCTCTCTCTCTCTTTTTTCTCTCTCTCTCTCTCTCTCTGTCTCGCCCCTAATATATTGGCTAGCAATCGTTGGATAATTCAATGTAAGGTTAAAGAAGTGAGTAATGGCATGAATGGATCCATGAATGGATGGAATAAAAGATAGGTCAGGTCAAAACTGGCTGATACATGTAGTCTATTATACTACATTTGAGTTTTTTGTTATTTAAACTGAATAGATGTACATGTAGTTATGCAACTAGTAAATAATTGCTATAGGCTATTTTTGTAATGTAATCAAATTTAATGCACAAATCTTTGTTAAATGCCTTGTTACAGCTTTTTTTGTTCACCTGTTACCAATAATTGTATTTCTATAGTCAGAATGCCAGTTGCATACATCAATTGTTGCTAAGTAGAACAAACAATATGGCTTGTCCTACCCAACAAAGATTTGTGCATAAAATTAGATTGCATAATGAAAATGTTCAATTCAGTTAAATTTTGCCACCGATATAGATGTCCATTGGTACCAACTCAAGGTAGCAAAGCTGATTCATTATGAAATTTCTTTGGGAAAATTGCATAATGCAGAACAAATATTTGTTCCATTAACACGCTTTAAAGAGATTGAAAGTTTAAACGATCAGATTCTTATCTTTCATTGGATTGGTATTGAAATCCCTTTTTGCAACAAGGCCAGGCATCTAATGTGTATGTTCTTCCCAAACAACCGACGCTGCGAATGATATAAACGGCTTTAGCTTGGCCACATGAAATACATTATATGATGATTCATGCCGTAAGATTACAAATGAGCAATACGGATCACGCTAGCTACACTTGGTCTAGACAGATCATTTAATTGACTGAGTTTTCAAAGATAGACTCTTTAATCCAATATCCAGAAGTTCAATTCTAAACTGATGATTTCCCGACAGGGTGCTGACTGGAGATGGATCGGGGACGAGAAATCTAGCGCTTGTTATCGCACCCTGACAGTCGGGCTTGACAGGGCTTAGGAAGTCACAAATCCCAACTTTGACACAATCCATTAGCGATCGATCTGCCCAAACTCTTGAGGATAAATTTACTAGTTGTTGATGGCTAAACGAGTGAAAGTAGAATGGATGTTTTATTTGTTTTTCTTGGTCATATTTCTACATGCCGTAAAGTATGTAATATTATGGAGTTTCATAATATACTCCCTGATGCATATAGTTACATAAATATACATCAATAAATACACAATTAGCTGATTCATTCATTTTTTTCTAATCGGTCAATTGGATGATAAATCGTTGACTGACCAACTGACTGCATTGGACTACTATTTTATAATACAACTGTAGTACACACAATGGTATGTAACAAAGGCACAAACAAATGACAGTGAATGAATATGTACAGTGGCTTAAACTTATTTTCTGTTCAGAGTAGTAGAGATGGATATTATGAAAATAAACCTATTCATTTCAATGTAAAAATATCCATCATTTTGGGACGCAATATATCTGTACTTGCAGATGATGATGGGAAAAATTAAAAGCAATACAGCAACATTGAAAGGGATTGGGTAACTTTATTTCAGATTCTGAAACAATATCCTGGATTTGGCTCATGCTGCAATGAAATGTTATAAAGGTCAGTCAGGAACCCCATGACTTTTACAAGCCGATTGCCTGTCTGAATATCAAGATATTTATGATTGGAAATCGATATTCAAAAATTCTATTAGGGAAAATGAGTATGGTAAAACCAGTCAATCAAAGATTTTTACTCTTTTGAGGCACTTCATGATCATTTTGAAGCGCAATTTTTTTTTAAGGGCTCCAATATTTCACCATATCACTGACACTGATAACACGCAGGACCATGCATCTCAGATTTAACATGGTTAAACGATGCATTGACATAAGCCTTCCAACGTGAGCGATGGATCAAACAGGCCCCAATCAAGCATTACGCTACTAAGACGTGATGTCAAATAACTGCTAAAAGAGGAAAGAAAGTAGGATTCTATTTCAAGGCATCCCTGGATATCTTTTCTTGGAGAACATGTGTTTACCAGAGAACGACCTCACGACCTGCTTTAACGAGTTTAATGCAACATGGCTCCCTCATGAGGCCAGGGAGTTTAAGTTTTCCAAACTAATAATGCGGATGATTATGCCAAGTACCATAAAAACCATGTTGTGTGTATGATAGATGCAACCACGGTCGTTATTAGAGTCTTGTCAGAAAATTGCAAAAACTTATAACCTTTTTTCCTTGTTGTTCTCATTCTTCTTGTTTGTTTGATTATTTATTTTTTAATTTTTTTAAACTTCTGAAGTTTTGCTAAATAACTTTGTTTATTCAGAGCCCCCCAAAAATATACCACATACACGAGTTGAAAGGGTAAACATTTCTGCACACATTGCATACCCTGTTGTTTCATGACTGTATTGTATTTGATACTAGGAATTTTTTTAAGGAAAACAAGTTTTAAAATCCTTAAATTAGCAACAGTGAGAAATTAAAAATCTTTTGTTTTCAAATCAAAACCAGCTATTTTATAAACTTTTCAACAACTTTCTTGCCTGTGTATATTGTTTTCAGAGACAATGCATTTCATCTATCATTGTAGCGATAAAAGAAAAATATTATTGTTGCCAGTTTGAAGAAAAAATGTGTGAAAATAAATCCTGTCCTGCAAGGGTCATAAAGGGAGTTTATAGATACAATCTGTGCATGGGCAGGTAAAGGTCATTTGTACCAAAATGGTAAAAACCCACAGAGATGAATACTGGATATGCGCTCATGAAAGTTATGTAACATTATTCATTTATGCACCAACGGTACATTCTATGATACGCAGGTGGAAGTATTCTTTTCAAGAGGTCAAACAAAAGGTATTCATGAAGCACATCTAGGACTTTGGCAGTTATTATTCTAAGATGCTCAAAGTGCAACTTCTCCATGTGTAAAAGATCTGTGGATATTTGGGGTCATTTGTACCATGTGCTATCTGTAAACTCCCTTATACACACCATCCGATTCTGACAAGCCACTTTAGAAAAGCAATGTAATTGGTTATTTGAATATTATGATGTTTTTAATTTACATTGTTTTACTCTTGTGCTTCGACAGAGGCTGTTTTGTTTCTTCAAATAAACTATAACCTTCCATCAACTCAAGCGTCTCAGCGTGAATAGTTTGGCCTTTCTTTCAGTAATATACAGAAGAATTGTCTTACCTGTGACCATCTCCTCGCCTTCCGAGTCTAGCTCCGGTCCTACGAACATGCTCTCATTGATGTGCTGCGAGAGCTCCAAACCCTCATCACTGAACATAGAAGCTACGCTGGTATCATGAAGAACATCACCGTCAGAGCTAGAGTCTCCTGTTAGAAGGCAAATTATGCAATACGACAAAAGGTTAAAAAGATTTAAAAGTCAGGTCTTGGGTTTGGGGTAAGGGGTAAAGTTCCCAGACCACTCTAACGAGTCCCATTAAAAAAGGTAATCTTTGTTGAAGTTTTTTTTAACCAATTCAATGGTTTTCTTATAACAGAAGTGGCAGTGACAGCAACAAGAACAACAAAAAATTAAGTAAAATATAGCTGATTCCAGCATTGCAAAAAATACCTTGCTAAATCTCTATAGAAGTAACCTAAGAAATTTAAACTCTCATGTGATGGTTATAAGTTTGTTAACTACAGACCCTAAACTTATTAATGCCTCATAAAACAATTTTTTGGGGGGTACAACTCTTGTACTGTTATTAACATTGTCGCTAATCAACTTATTGAGGCCTGAAATATTTTAAAAATTAACGGTCGACCAAAACTAAAAATTTATCTTGTAAAAGATATCCCTAAAAAAAGGCTTCTGTAAACTCCATTTAATCTATGCCCTGAAATTCCTTTCCAGGATAAGTTACACCTACATGTATAACCTCTCAAGAAAAAAGTTAAAGAGAATATATAGACCTGGTCTACCATCACGGTTACCTCCGACGGCACCCCTCAGAAGATCAATCCTGGGCGATGAGGGCCTCCCATCGCCCCTCCTATCCATCTCCTGCTGGCGGGAGGGGGATGGTCTGGAGCCCCCTCCCAGACGTCGGTTGATGGCATTCTCCGATGCCATGGTGGTGTGTACGACCTGGGTCAGGACCCGCAGTAGGTGGTTGTTGGTCTGTTGTAAACCGTCCCTGTACGCAAAGACAAAATTGGACAACTTAATATCGACCATTATTCTGCCACCAATTTTACAAACATGTATAACAATAATGCTAAATATATTACTCATTGCGGATGTAGCATCGAAAATGTAGTATCGAAAATAATATAATCTAATCCTTGTCAAAAATATTTTGAACAATATTTCAAGCAGTAGTATATAAGATGCTACATGATACAGAATTATCGTTTTGCCTTGTCCCCGTAGTCTCCATGAGAGAGACAAAATATATGCGTTTATAAGTTAAATGTAGATAATCACATAAATGTATAATTGATTAAACAAAACAATTGCAAAGACAATTGTAAATAGGATCTATGGTATTTTGTTCATTATGTCCAAAACACCTCTTCCAATCACGAGCATACATGTATATTTCAAATAACAAATCCCAGGCAAAATAATGAAAAATTCTGCGGAAAATGAGAAAATATAATTTCTAATTCTACCAAATCGGTTTCCATGTGCTTTTTGTTGTTGATTTTTCTTTTTTATAATTTAAATTTTAAATTTTTAAATAAAATCAAAGCTTAGAATGTTGTTTCTGTGGTGAAATTAAAGACAGATTGAGGATAAAATAGGATCGACTGTGTGGCTTACCTTTCTGTTCCAAGGCGGTCTAAGTCTGATCGGAGCATGGCCAATAAGGTGCTCCCTTCTTCATTCTCTCGTTCTGATCGACCAATCACAGACTCTCGCTTAGCTAGCGACTCAAGTAGCTCTGCATTCTTCCCCTTCAGCTGATGATTAATGCAAAAATAAAATCATGAATATAATACTTCTAATCATTCGTAATTGCAGACAAGTTCGTATTATAAAGACCTGGTCCGTGTTTCATAAAACTTGTTTTCAATAACAGTGACAATAACTGTTATAATCTACTGAAATCATGGCATTTGATTGACGGAGAGCAAACTTATGATATAAATTTAGCATTTGTTCTTGATAACAAGTTTTACAAAACAGGGAATTGCAATGCATACCTGTTCAAATGTCCACTTTGGCATATAATGGAAACAACAAAAGCTGCACGAATGAGCTTTATGAAACTCTTCATTTTGAATAAGATGCCTGGCCCACAGTTTAATATCAAGTCTAAACAGCATATATCCTACTACCAGTTTTGTACTTTTAGTACCCAAACTGGAGAAATACAGTTCATTACAAGCTCCTCCAATATACAACTATTAATTACAACTGCCATCAATGACTGCATGAGAATTTAATACACTTTTAAAATACTAGTAATACAGGTATCTCGTAAAAGAAATGAAAACAACTGGAAAGATGAGGGAATTAAATAGAAGAAATGGGCTGGAGAAAAATGACAATCCAATTTGTAAGGAAATTGGCTTAATTGACTTCGGGACAGGATTTGTTGTGTAACAGCCAAGATGAATCAGATAGCTGGGAGAACAACTGGAAGGCCATTCATTCATGATGAAATGTATTACACACTACACACATCATGAATCACATACATTTTAATAATGACTAAATTATTCATACCCCTTGTACATTTGATTTTTTTTTTTTTTTTTTTTTTTTTTTTGGGGGGGGGGGGTCTTTTTTTTTTGTAACTCAAGAATGAAAGGTGGAAAGGTTGAATTAGGGTCTTTGCTGCATACATTTAGATGTAAGCTACAGCTGTATATGTCACACTCTCAATAAACATATATTGGGACAAATCAATAATAAATAATATAGTAATTGTTAACCATACATGTACATGTATAACTCCTGTTTTGTTGGCTTCCTTTTTTTAAGTCTTCATGCCCCCATGGTGAAAGGTTTGGCAAGTTATCTGAATCTCATTTTGGTGCTCAAATTGGTGATCCAATCCTTACCGGTACTCATCGTATAAAGTGTATTTTTAACCCTACTAAAACAATCTAGCTGTATGCCTACATGTACATGTGCATGTCACAATCGTTACTCATAACAATCATTCAACAGTACATTAAGAATATTAAACAAAAATTGGAATAGTACGAATTGCTTATAAAAATAGATTTCAATATCACAATTTTTTCAATTTTTCATGAAATACATGTAGAACATTATAAGCCAAATTACTTTACATTAGGTATATAAACTGGCATACACTTCACAGCATGTCTCTCTCTCTCTCTCTCTCTCTCTCTCTGTTTCTTTCGTTTTTCTATCTATCTCTCTATCTTTCCCTCCCTCCGTCTGTTCTCCATTTCTTGCTCACTCCCTTTCCCCCCTCCCTCTTTCTCTCTAATCGCTTTTAGAAATAGCACATATCCGTAAAACCTACAGACACAATTAAAAACTTGGGCGCATTCTTTGATGTTCATATGAGTATGAATTCACATATTAACAATGTTAGTAGAACGGTCACTTTTCACTTAAGGAACATATCACGAATTCGTAGATATATTGATCAATCAACTTGTCATCATGCTGTAAGGTCTTTAATTCTCTCTAGACTTGATTATTGTAATGGACTTCTTTCCTCTCTTCCAAAGTTACATGTAAACCGTCTCCAGCGCCTACAAAACTGGGCAGCACGTCTTGTGTTTGAGGTCGGTAGAAGTCATTCAGCTCAACCATTAATTAATTCCCTTCACTGGCTTCCAATTCAACAGCGAATCATTTTTAAGTTACTCTTATATGTCTATAAATCATTGCACCACCTAGCTCCTAATTACCTGTCTAATTGTTTAACTTTATATACACCAAGCAGAAATCTCAGATCTTCAAATGATAACCTCCGTCTAAATTATCCAATTACACGTGTCCAAGCCGGGGATAGGACTTTCACGGTAGCAGCATCCAAAGGGTGGAATAATCTCCCCATGTCCATCAGACAATCTGCCTCTATCGATATTTTTAAGAAGGCTCTGAAAACCCATCTCTTTACATGAATTCTCCTCTATGTTTAATTATTTAATTTAATCAATTGAATTTAATATTTTATATGGAATATCTAATTGTAGCCTTTAATTACTACATGTAGTAAAGACCAATAATATTATTTGATGTTAGCGCTCTGAGCCTTATGGGAATGGCGCCCTAAATGTTCATTGTATTGTATTGTATTGTATCTTCAAATGTAGGACCTGGGCCCTGGTTTCATAAAACTTGCCATCAATAACAAGCTACAATAACTGTTATAAGCTACTGAAATAAAGGCATTTGATTGGCTGAGAGCAAATTTATCATAGAAATTTCCCATTTGCTATTTGTAATATGTTTTATGAAACAGGGACCTGGCATGAGCTACTAAAAGGCCAGTAGCAGCTGCTTCCTTAATTCTATCCAATCAATAGAGATATTTGTCCAGAATTTGGTGCACAAGAGGAGTCAACAAGCAATTGTGAATCTCTGTACAAAAGAGCAATAATGCCTGCGCTTCTTCGATGTGAATATTGGCAATCTGGAAGCCACGCATACTCCTGTATGTGACTACAGTATGTGTACAAAAGGGTGAAATATGCAAACATTATATGGATGCAGCGAACACAATGAAAAGTATTGTTTCAGAAAGGCAGATAAATCCTATCTGGGAGTATTTAATTATAAAGTCATATCAAATATCATTTTCATGGAAGCCTCGGCATGAACATGAATGTTGCATTTTTTAAAAGTTTTCGAAGGCATCTTCTTCAATATCTAAAATTGAAACTGTATTTCAAATCTACAAACATACAGTGTAGGACAAAAAAAATTGCTCTTAATTTTGCAAGATTTAGGTAACTGGTCCAATATTATAATAAAAATATGTTATATGCATATAGAAACTATACACTGCATACAGACAATTATTTTCCATTTATTTTTTTTAAAAGTTGTAATAATATCACTGTACAATGTACACTAGCAGTATATTACTAAAATGAAATGCATTTCTCTAATATCTTACCTAAGATACATTTGAATACAAAAAGCCTTGATAAAATCCAATTAATCCTTCGAGAGTATGGTTCTGTAGTAATATAACACTTCCAATGAAACAATAGAATCCGATACTCAATATACTTCTAATATTGGGTGCATACTAGACATCTGTGCAACAACAAACATGGATGCCTCCTCGATCAAACACTCTCGAGAATGAAAGCAATATGTTCCAAAGCTCATGGCAAGCATCCAAGCACTAAATTCCTCGTAAATAATCCATTTTGGTCATGCAGCTAGGGCAGACAGTGTTATCCACGCTTCATGTAGTCGTAGTACGAGACTTCTCTGAGTCAGTAATTCACATACAGACAATGTTTATCAAACATCAATGAGCTGTCCTACACGCTAACATATTCAAGATGACCGGTTTTTAAAAGACAGCATGAAGCTACCCGCTGATGGTCTTGATTAATCCAAATCATCCACGGTCCGCTGAAGAAGTCGGTGAACGCATAGGAAAGAAAAAGAATCCCCCTTTCGGCAAATGGGGAATTACTTTCACACACGTGTTGTGATTACAATAACACACGCACATGAGCTTGAATCGAGGTGCAATGTCCAAACTACTGCACACATGTATAGTGCGTGGTGTATGGGACAAGGGAGAGAGTGAGCTAGTGAAACTGCACGCTGCTATCCCTTGACAGCTAAATTCCCTATTTCCTGCAGTACACACAGGGTGTACTATGTAGCCCATGGCCTCTGTCGGAGGTACGCTTAATAACAGGAAACGAGGCACACAGGCCACTCTCGTTAGACGAGCTACGCATCGGACGCGCTCATGCTATCGTAAGTGCCGTTACACAGTCGACGAGCTTGCCGTAAACTGTTTGTGACATGAACGCAAGGAGAATGCCTCAATTACAGTGTTTTGACTCTGGCGAGAGGTAACCAGCTCATAGAGGTTTGCAGGAAAGAAGCTGTCCACATAGAGCATGTACATGAACATACACAATAATGCTTTTCCAGCAGTGATAGTCAATTTGGAGAATAATTTAATCTTCTGACCCTACCCTGAAATGCACTCAAATTCACAACCCGATGACCCAAAGATCAGAAAAGAGCTCAAATTCAATACAAGAGGGGAGAAAATAAACCTTTGCTCATACAGGGCCTTCGCTGTCTCGAGAATGCTCTCGCTCGACTCGAGAGATTCGGAATATCAGATTAGTTGGAGACTCTTAAAAGAATCTTAAAACGTATCGGCATACAATTAATCTTTCTATAATTTTTGTATGGTCCATTTACTTCGATCTGTTCCTTTGTTTAAAGCAGGTGCTAAAGTAATTTCTTTGTGTGTGTGTGTTTTTCACAAGTGCACCATGAGCATTCGATTTCAAGTGGATTCTGAGCTTTATAAATCTCATATATTACTATTATTATTATTATTATTATTATTATTATTATCATTATTATTATTATTATCATTATTATTATTATTATCATTATTATAATTATAATTATTATTATCATTTAATGCAGAAAGAAGTGATGCCATTCCCATTCCTCCTCGTGAATAGAATTCCAGCTTAACAGAGGCAGCATGTGAAGCTATGCATGGTATTCATGTGCGTAATTCAGAATATTCCGTGATGAATGGCGAGAGCATGTCCCCATTGTCTGGCCTGGGCTGCCCTGGTCTGGTCAGAGATATGGCTTGTGTACTAAAAGTACCAGCTAACTTGCTTGCTTGCGTGTCATTACTCCAACCAGCTGGCCCATTCATTTCATTCATGATCATTCACTCTCAATTACTCACAGCATGGACCTACTACTCACAGCCAGGAAATGGCATCCCATAGAGACGCTAGAGTACCACAATGAATCAGTTTTTTCCTACGGTACAAATGAAGACTATTTATAAACAAGGCATCTGTCTACCAGCGAATTTTCAAATGTCGTTCAATCATTTTTTGTTTTGATATCTAATTTTATGGTGTTACATCAATTTTCCCTCTCGCGTCCCCCCCCCCCCTTTTCTCTCTCTCCATCTCTTTCCCTCTTTCTCTCTCTCTCTCTCTCTCTCTCTCTCTCTCTCTCTCTCTCTCTCTTTCATCCTTCTGTCACCTTACTCTATCTATTTATTATTCAGTTGAACACACTGGACATTGTAAAAAAAGCTCATGTTCCTACTCTTAATCAGTTATAAAATGTTAGACGGAATTGAAGGAAAATAAACACGGAATAACCACTAGCAAGTAAAGTGCAAACTTTGGACCTATTGTTTTCCTTGCTAAATAGTCAAATACAAGTAATTTCAAGATGTTTTTTTTTACCGGCTGACAGTTTTTATTAAATTTATCAGCTAATATTTGTAGGTTTCATTGCCCTTTAATGTATTATTCCATGAGGCATGAGCTACATACATGTACATGTATAACAACCCAAGAAGATATGCAATTATCAAGTCAGACCTATCATCAGTTGTATGAATAAAAAAAAAAAAATGGTGTAAATAAACTTGGGAAGCACTTTCTTGTACTATCATTTAATAGCAATTAGACACATCTTACTACCATAGTCTAATTTAATTGCCCATCCCTCCTTCCCCAGGTTCCCATTCTACTTTATATTTATATGATTGCATAAAATATTATTATTATTAATAATCAAACAAGATAGAATTAATACAAATAATTTACAAACATTCACATAATCACATTACAAATCTTTTAAAACATATTAAATGTTCACAATGAATTCATTGACACATTTTTTGGTTCTTTCCTCTCTCCGTCTCTCCTACTCTTTACATACATGTATATCTTTTCCACTCTCCTCAGTACCTCTTAAAATGACATTTAAAATTCATTTTTGTTTCCATTTCTTTGATCGCCATGTTTTTTGGGGGGAGAAAGAAAAAAGAAAATTCACAAATTTGCACATCTCACAGAACCGGTCCATGTAAGTACCAAGTTTCCTCACTAGCTTTTCAAACAGGAAGTTCAAGCAACGACGCTACAGGACCTAATGAGCATATGACTATAAAACCATGCAGTCATTATCAGGATTAGCTTTACATATATCTAATAGATTCCATTCTCATCAGTATAAATGAAAATTTATATCATTTTTGTTTCCCTTTCATTGATCGTAAATGCTTTTTGGGGAAAGAAAGAAAGTTCACAAATATGCACATCTCACGGAATGGGTCCATGTAAGTACAGTAAGTACCAAATTTCATAACTAGCTTTTCAAATGGAAGGTTCAAGCAGCGACGCTACAGGATCTAATGAGCACATGACTAAACCACGCTTTCATAATGAGCATCTCCCGTCACAACAATCAACTACCAGAGAGAGCATATAGCGTGGGGTGACGAGTAAAGCAGACACTTCCTCCAGCCGTCAGGCCCGGTGACCCCGGGTCACTGACAGGAAGTAATCATATTACACCTGTACTGTAGTTATACAAGACTAAGAACTTGCAAAGGAAGGGTCTTAATTGGTTTGGCTAATATGATCTGGGAGAAAATGATTTATGTTTGGTATGCTTACTGGACTAACTTCCAGTTGGAGCATTGTATTGAATTTGGCATTTATAAATAATCTTCAAATTCCCACTAATAAACAGAAATTTCTGCATTTTGAGAAAAAATCAATTTATCTCACTCTACCAGGTATCTCTTTTCTACTTCGGGCAAAATCGATATGAATTTCATGGTACTCTAAAATCTCTATACATGTACAAAGTTTTTTTAGAGTACTGTGAAATTTCAAAGGAAGGGTCTTAATTGGTTTGGGGTAATAGAGATGCTTAGACGGACTACCAAATCGTGGTATTCAATCCCATTATATTTTACAAGTAAAGGTGACCTTTGATGGAAATTTCTTGATTTTGAGAGAAATTACAAGCTTTCAAAATTATTCACCAAAAAGAGAATTTCTTTTCTGAACCATAATAGGCAACACTTGCCAAAAATCATACACATGGAAAGCACTCAACAAAAATTCACATACAGTGTACATATATATATATATATATATATATATATATATATATATATATATTCTCTCTCTCTCTCTCTCTTTATCTGTCTCTCTGTGTCTCTGTGTGTCTCTCTCTCTCTCCCTTTCCCTCTCTCTGTCCTAACTTGAATAAATTTGCATATGAATATATTTGTGACTTTTCTAAAACATTTCTTTATATGATTACTTATTTTTTAAACAATATAACACATTAACTTGTAAATGTTCATGCCAACAACACAATATACTCATCGCCAACAACACATCTTTCTCTCAATCTCAAATCTCTCTCTCTAAAACTTATAAGAATAAATTGTCTTACCTGTTCATTTTCTTGTACCAGGTCATCTTTCTCCTTTATCATCTGATCTTTCTCTCCTGAACATGAAAACAAAAGTATAGAAAATGTTCTTAACTATGTCTTAAGTTTGATTTTTAAGTTCTGATATGGGGAAGGGAACATCAAACTTGAGAGAAACACACTCTGACACTACACATTTTTCCTTGATATTATTGAATCAGTACAGCAAATCTTTCAACATTATGTTAAGATTTCCTTTTAAAAATTGTAGATGTTGATGGTTACATTCTACCTGTAGATGGCGCTCTTCAATCTGTTGAAATGATCATCTGTAGATTATTTCCTCCACTTGTCATTTGCTGATAGCTTATGTTGACAATTCAGGCATGGATAGAAGAAAATACTTATTTCCCCTCTTTTTCACTCCATAAGTGAGTGAAAAAACAATTTGTTAAATAAAAAGGTCCATCTGATTGGTGATGTAAATTCATTTGTTTTCTTCTCCACAATTAGTAGGAAAATTACCTGATTCAGAAAGCTTTCACTTGCTACATGCTGCAAGTTGCTTTATGGCAGGTGGAAGCTCACTGAAACAGGTAATTTTTGCACCCTCTAGGATTTTCCAGTATTCCATTGGAGTTATCAAATTTTCAATTAAAACAAAATTAAAGAAACAATCTGAAGAAGAAAAAGTTCCAATCTAAATTAGCAAGATGTTACTGATTTGCATATATGTATGTACATGTACAGTGTACTATTATAATCATACCTGCAACCACAAATTTCAAATAATATAAATCAGAATGTACATGTTCGCTGTTCAGAGCCAGAGGGCGAGAGCTCTGTGTTACAGTATATGAGTTAAGGCCCTTCTGGCTCCAAACAAAAGATTAATCAGTATCTTACACTGGAACCAGTTCAACTACATGGTAACCATATACTGCTTTGATAAGCTACTTGCCAGGAATAAATGTACTGATACATGGATTTGTAATCAAAACGATTCACAGAGATTCATATTACAAATCTCTTACAAGTCCTCAATAAAGTCATAGGACTCACAATCGCTTGCTTTCTTTCTTTCTTTCTTTTTTTTTCTTTTTCCTTTTCTCTCTCTTTCTCTCTTTCTCTCTCCCTCCCTCCCTCCCTCCCTCCCTCCCTCCCTCCCTCCCTCCCTCCCTCCCTCCCTCCCTCCCTCCCTCCCTCCCTCCCTCCCTCCCTCCCTCCCTCCCTCCCTCCCTCCCTCCCTCCCTCCCTCCCTCCCTCCCTCCCTCCCTCCCTCCCTCCCTCCCTCCCTCCCTCTCTCCTTTACTCTTTACAATACATACAGGTATCTCATTCAATTTTTTCTGAGCAGTGTAAATTACATCTATTTCTATTAACTTCAATAGAAATGCCATTTACAAAGCACAAGCATTTTGTAAATAATTATCCTTATTTATGTTCATCGTTTTCGACTGTAATGTTTGCATGCATGGACCAATAAAATAATCTTGAATCTTGAAAACATTGATTATTTTCTCACCTTTCTCTTGCTCTGCATTCCTATTCATTTCCTCCTTCAAAGCATCCATAGCTTCTTCCTTCTCTCTCTCCATCTCCTTCACCTTCTCCTCTTTCTCTGCTTCTATCTGACTCAGCATCTCTCGGTGATTGTCCGTCAACAGCTTCTTTGCTTCCTCGAACGCCATCTGAAGATCTTCAATGTCTGTATTCAAAAGAGCATCACAGATAAGATTTAAAGGCATTGTTTAACAATGTCTCCAGTTTTACAAATCTGAGATGCATGGCCCTACGTGTCTGGGATATAGTGTAATATTGAAGCCAAAATTGTAATTCAAAATGATCATGAAAAGCTTCAAAAAAGTAAAAAAATCTTTGAGTGACCAGTTATACAATGACCGGGGTAATAGTACTGTATATTTGTAAAGCGCTTAGAGACATTTGTATTAAGCGCTACCTGTATATAAAAATTAAATATCATTTATTTATTTATTTATGCCATACTCATTTTCCTCAATAGACTGTAGTGTAATAAAAACCAATGGGAAAATGATTTTATTTAATTCTGAATTCCAATCATAGATATGTAGATAATCAGACAGGCGATCGGATTGTAAAAGTCATGGGATTCGTGACGGACCTAAAGGTTAATAATTATGATTGCAGCATTAGCTACATCCAGGATTTTGTTTAGAATCTGAGGCAAAGATACCCAATCCCTTTAATGGTTAAACAATTCACCCTGTACATAATAACAAATTCATGTACTGTACATACATGTAATTCTTCCATAAATATACATATATAGTTGTATCACATACATGTACTGTATCTTGCATGAATTATTAGCCAATGCTAGGATAAGATATGCAAATTAACTATGATGGGAATTTTCATGGCACTTATTCCCACCCAAACTTCCATATTTACCTGTTTGGATTTCTCATTCATACAAAAAAGATAATCAAAGTATATAATCGAGCCCACTGGCTTATCCACCTAGTTTCCAGCATTTACTGAGATGATATATATGTATGTATGTCCTCATTTCAAGTTGCATAATTATGATTTCAATTTTTGTGGCTAGAACACCAGGGGGGTGTTTCACAGAGACTAAGATCGACTTAAGTTGAACTTAACTATGGCAGGCCTTTCATGCCACTAATTCCTCTAACCATTCCTGGCATTGGTTTCTCAAGGGACGTACTAATCATGGTCAGAAATCTACAGAATTTACCTTTTTTGATAGTTCATTATTGAAGGCAAAAATATTATCTAAAGATCATAATTGAGAGACCAATAGTGAGAGCAACCAGTGGCATGAGAGGCCTGCCATATGAAACACTCCCTGGGTGTCTTGCTTGATGCTTTAAAAGAAACACCATTATCATCATTACTATCATTATCATTATTTTTTTCTACGGTAATTCTATTTCTCTTCTACCTACCTTTCTGTTTTTGAGCCTCCAGCTTGTTCTGGAGGTCGATGATCTCCTTCCGATGTACCTCCTCCAGATCGCCCTTGGCCGTCTCGACGTCGGCGTCCTGGGAGGAGCCCAAGGCAGCCAGCTGATCGGCGTGGTCCTCCTCCATCTGGGTCAGCTTCATCTCGAGGGACTGCTTCAGGCTGCTCATCTCATCCTCGTGCTGCTGGTCCGACTCCTGGAGTTGCTGGGTGGACTCTTGGAGCTGGTCCTGGAGGGCCTCGAGTCGCTGGGTGAAGTCGCTGTCCAGTTCGGCTTGCAGGAAGGTGTTGGAGGCTTCCATTTCCTGCTTGTGGGTCTCCTCCAATTCAGCAGTTACCTGGTATAGGTGTGGAGAATGTGAATTGGGGCAATTTCATAGTGGGGCATATTTTTGAATAAATTATGCACCTTTCTCTCACGAGGAAGCTTCACATAGTTCCTTACATGGTTATTTAAAAACATCATAAGTTAAACCACAATTAAAGATGTCCATGCATGGGTATACAGTCGTTCGTGAAGTAGGCAACTTGGCGATTACTACATAACACCGAGCTAATGGGTATTATGCTCCTGTGTGTATGTCCGTGTGCTGCCCTCTATATACCCGTGCTTGAGCAACTTCAAGACCCATACAATATAGTTTCCTACAATATAGTTTCCTACCTCTCAAAATTTCTGCATGTCACAGGCAAGCAGTTCTTCTTTCATCTCCTCTTACTCTCTTTGTCACTCTTCCACATTTCTTCTTCCCTATTCTCTAACACCTTCTCTTTCATCTCAACAGAAATATTTTTAATAAATTTGTTCATAAAATCCAACATCTCTAAGCTTCTAGATATGAAAGTAGCACTCACTTCTTCAATCCCCTCATTTTCTTCTTCATGATATTTTTTGTAACTGATATTCCTAGCATGAAATCCTACCTCTCTAAACTTCTGCATGTGTGAAGCCACCAGCTCTTCCTTAAACTCTTCCTTATCCCGTTCGTGTCTCTCCTCCATCTCTCTCATCTTCTGCTCCACCTCCTCGACCCCTCTTCTCTCTTCCATCATCTTCTCCTCCAGCTTGTCCCTCTCCTCGTCGGTGAGCTTCATCAGGTCCAAGCGGAGCTCCTCCAGCTCCTGGGCGTGGCTCTTTCTCAGCATCTCTAGCTCCTCCTCTTTGGCTTTGGTGAGGGATCCCCGAAGATCTTCAAGATCTTTCATCTGTAAACAATGACACAATAATGATAGGTGTGCAAAAAAATCATCGCATTAGAATGCATTCATTAGAATTTTGAACTCTAATTCCTTTGTGATCTTGGCTCCGTGCATTAAACTGACCATTGATGGTAACTTTGCAATCAACAGCAACTACCATGATAACAGGGCTCAACGGCCAATCCAAAACAAGGTTTCCATGGTAGTTACCATTGATGGCAAAGTTACCATCAATGGTAAGTTTTGTGCAACAGGCCATGGTCATTTTATGTACAACATAAACTACATTCATTGAACAAATTTATTATTTCTTTAGCTGTAATGCTAAATCAAATCAGAATATCACTGAAAGGATATTGGACAACAAATGAGAAGTGTAAATGCTAATTGAAGACATATCTATTTCGGATTCAAGCACTTTTTTTCCATATTAAGTTAAATGAAACTGCCGTATTAAATCAATTTAAACTTCCTCTACAAAATTCAGATTTTTGAATTTCTAATATACATCCATCATGAACCTGTTCATCCATTACTAACCTGTTGTTGAGTGAGCTCAGTTTGCAGCTCTTCCTTGGTTCTGGCCAGGTCTTCTTCATGAACCACCTTGAGCTCTCCAAGTGCCTTCTCTTGATCCTCCACAAACCTGTCCATCAGAGCCTGGTGCTGAACGGCAAAGTCTTCCTGCATCTTCTCCAGGTCTGCTCTTGCTTCAACCTGGGTCGTCCTCACCAACTGATCCATCTCTTCGTTCATCGTGGTCGTTATCAGCTCCAATCGATTGTCGTAGTCCCGCATGAGGGTCTCCTTGAGTTCCTGTATCTCTGGCGCCTCTCCGTTCTTGATGCTTTCCTGCAGTTGATGAAGTCGCTCTTTGGTGTCTTCGAGCTCCCGTCTTAGTTGCTCCACCTCCTCAACGGCACCCTGCAGAGATTCAGCTTCAGAGTTCTTGAGCTTGTCCAGTTGCTCAAGGCAAATACCTATCATGTTGCTTTGGGTATCGACCTCCACCTGCAGAAGGGCTCGCTCTATAGTTGCATCAGATACTATCTTTGCAACCTCATCGACAATCTCATTTTTGCTCGCTTTCACAAGAAGTTCTCTTTCTTGCTGCCATTCACCTTCCAGTTGTTTAACCTCCTCTGCATGTCTGTTTGCTTCTTCTTTTGAAGAGTCGGTTAGGACACTACTCTCATACTGCTGACGCAAGCTCTCCATTTCTTCCATGTGTTCTTTTTGGAGTGTTTCACGAAGCCCTTCCATCTCTTCGGCAACAGCAGAGGCTAGCTCGGAGGACATTTGCTGACGCATCTCCTGATTCTCCTGGGCATGGCTCTCTTCAGATTCCTCCATGGCTTCACGGTGTTCAGTTGTCATCCTCGTCACTTCTTCTTCCACAGCTCTGGCTGATTCACTAGCACCTTGTAATTGCAACCTGATTATTTCTTTGGAGTGATCTCCTTCAAGCTGGTTCCTGAGCTCCTCAAACTGGTTCAGGTAATCCAGCTCAAGATCATTGGCATCCTGTGTGTGCTTGGCATTCAACCGATCCTCCAGCTGCAGCATATCTTCTTCCCTCTGCAGATCATACTCCATCTTTATCCTTGCCATCTGTGCTTCATGTTCACTCTCAAGCTCTAACCTCAGGTTCCTCAGATCCTTCTGGTATTCATGCTCCAGTTGCGCCCTGAGCTCTTGCTTCAGTTCTGCCTCAACTTCCAAGAACTTAGGTGGTGATCTTGGAGGTGAGCTGTCCGAGTCTGAGAGATGTGTCAGGGTCATCATGGCATGGGAGTAGTCTTTCCTTTTGGCGTCTCTCTCATCTAGATCCTTGCCAGCATTACCTTCTGGCGATTCATAGAGGTTCTTCAATTCGGCCATCTCTGCCTTCCATCTCTCATCCGTCTCCTCCACCTGCTTCTCGAAGTACAATCTCAGCTGGTTCAGTTCCTCAGTGTGTTCTTCTTGCAGTTTGGCCCTGAGTTTGGTGAGGGCAGTCTGCAGCTCCTTGTTCTCTTCGGCGAGCTGGTCCGGATCTGGGACTCCTGCTTGCTCCAACTGGGCCTTCAAGGATGCTACATCAGCACGGTACTGCTGCTGAAGATCCTGGTGGGCGATCCTGAGAAGGGACAGATCTTCGATGAGGGATGCTTCCGACTGGGAGCGGGCGATCTCCATCTCTTCTTTTGCTCGGACGTACTGGTCGTACTCAGCCTTGAGATTGGCTCTCAGTTCTGCAAGCTCTTTGTGATGTACCCTGTCAAGGTTCTGTCTCATCTCTGCACAGGAAAATAAGACCCAAATTAAAAGAATATTATCAGACTTGAACAAAATTATTTGGGAGAAGGGGTACAACTGAGAAAGAAAGAGAAAAGAAATTGTAGCTTATTACAGACAAAATTTATATCCATTAGGCTGAGAGATGTAAGGGAGGTAAATTCTTCTTTTAATACGAGTAAGGATAATATTGCTTAGAACTCTTAACATTTTTAAGGCACTAAAGGGTAGAATACATTTAAGCAATTAATCTGCAAATTTGTTGAATATGTTTCAATGCTTTGGGCTTTTTCGATACAGTGCACAAGCTCTTGCATTAGAGAGCAATGATCCTCACCTTCTGCGTGCTCAACAAGCATCTCCCTCTCCTTGAGGAGTATCTCCACGTCTGACTTGTACTCCCCCTCCACGTGCTCCTTGGTGCGCTCCATGTCCTCCTCTCTCCTCTCCTCCGCCTCCTTCTTCTCCTCCTGCAGCTCCTGGGTGTATTTGGCCTCCATCTCGGTTCGTACCGTCTCCAGGCGTTCCACCGCCTCCTGGTCCCACTGCTCGGCTAGCGTCTGCAAAGGAGGATAAATAAGTTTACGATGAGCTTCTATGGAGGAAATGATGCCATCTACAGATTCCTCATGATACAGTCAAACCTGTCTATAGCGACCGCCCAAGGGAAAAACAAAAAGTGGTCTTTGTAGACAGGTTCCTTTAGTACATGTCTCAATGAGAAACCATTTTCAAGGGAAACCAAAAATGTGGTCTTTGTAGACAGGTGGTCACTAAAGTAGGTTTGACTGTATAAATTATGGTGTAATAAATTTTTAATCAAAAAGTTTGTAAACAAGAGACAGGTCTTAAATAATGTGCAACAGAATTCTATGGCTGATAACCCAATACCCAGTCACATCGCCCTACCAAATCCAAACTGACCAATAATCGACAGCATGCAAACCATTTGGAGTAATGTACTTTTGCTTGCACTGTCAGTTTGGTGCCCATCTTGTTGGTGTATGGCACATTCTCCAAGGACGATTGCTCTACTGTTCTTTCCTATACTAACCAAATTCTTAACTCCAAGCCTAGACTTGGCAGTATACACCCTGTACCCTAACTCTAAACCTGACCTAAAACCTGATTGAAACCCTAAACCTAAAACCCAATTGAAACCCTAACCCTAAACCTAACCTAAAACCCAATTGTAATCCTAACCCTATACTTTTGATGACATTAAGCCTGAAGCAATGTTTGCCAATGTCAAATCACTAGCTTGGGTACATTGATGACATACCTGGACGACTTGCTTGTGCTCAAGACTCAGCCGTCTCTGTAGCTGTGATATCAGCTGATGGGTGTTCTGCTCCGCCTCATCTAATCATAAGAAAGGGAGAGAAAAATTAGATTAAAATTAGACTGAAATCTACTGTCCAAGTGACCTACATGTCCAGGGGATCAACTTTAAGTTGGACTTACATGTAGCTATGGCAGGCAGTTCGTGCCACTGTTTGCTCTCACTATTAGGATCTTTAGATAATATTTTTTCCTTCATTAATCAATCATCCAAAAATGTGAATTCTGTAGGTTGGTAACCATGATTTGTACGTCCCTTGAGAGACCCAATGCCAGGAGATGGTGAAAGCAAACAGTGGCATGAACGGCCTGCCATAGTTAAGTCCAAGTTAAAAGTCAATCTTTAAGTCTTTGTAATCTTAGTCTTTGTAATTAGTCTGGTAATACTACTTTCACTATCCAGGAGAGAATTCTTTGAAATCAAGAACACTTGAGTTCAGTCTCTTTCACAAACTTTTCCAAACACATTACAAAGACCATATCAAATACTTCTGGGCCCCCGTCTTACAAAGACTTACGATTTATAAAAAATCAATCGCAAGTCCTCCAATCAATCGCAAGACTGCAGTCTCCTATCTCTTATGTACATAGTTGCGATTGATATCAATCGCAAATAAGTTGCGATTAATATCAATTCTTTGTAAGACGGGCCCTGATGAACAAAATGTGAATGAGTGGTTAGTGGGCATACTGTACATATTTAGCAATGGCTTTCCACTGATAAAGAAAGACACTTCAAATAATAAATAAGAAATATTATAATGAAACATAATCAACTTCACTATTTGGATTAAGTAGGCTTCACAGATGAATTCCGAAGTACTTACACTTTACAAAACGTATGTATAAAATGTACATGCAATTGAAATTAACAATTCAGCATACCGGTATGTTATCCTTTTGATACTCCATAACATGCATAAGAGATTAAACATTATTATTATTACAATTTACATATACCTGGAAGAGATGCTCTGTAAAATGAAGAATAAAATCGAATTACCAATGGTTGTTGAAACTTACAAAAAACCAATTCCCTCCCTCTAGCTCCTTTTCTGTTCCACAATTCCTTTCTCTTACAAAATCAGGTGATACAACTATTGTATAGTTTACTTATTCCAAGGAGCTTTTGCAAGAATGATCAAGAATTTACAGCAACATCATGTTCAACTTGGTAATGATGGTTGTCGAGAATTTGACGTCCACTAAAATGGCACAATTCTGCGTTCTGCTGCAAAATGGAAATGTTCGCAGAATGAAAATGGCAAGGTTTACCGTCTCGTCCTGAAAACCTACAAGATGGAAACCCTTTTGACTAAAGACAAAGTATTGTAGGGATTCAATCATTACTCATGGCGGGATTCACTTATGTAAAAACTAAGGTTATGAAATATAAGAAATCTGGAGACATTCATGGCCAGAAGTGATTAAGAAATAAATTGGAGAAAATGTTGGCTATATATGATTGTTACCGTTCTGCTTATTCTCAGAGCAAGAAAATATTTTTTTTTAAATCTACATGTATCTATCTATCTATCTATCTATCTATCTATCTATCTATCTATCGATCGATCTATCTATCTTTCTATCTATAGATAGACAGACAGACAGACAGACAGATATATCCTGTCTATATATCTGTCTGTTTGTCTGTCTGTCTGTCTGTCTTTCTATCTATATATTAATCTATTTGTTTATTTGTTTATTTATAATAGGAAAATAATAATAAGAAAACGTCCTTCTAAATACTTGATTTCTTTCTTTGCCTTTTCACGTTTTTACCCACAGGTTAACATAAAAGTATAAACAGCACCTGTAAACTACCAAAATTAACAATAGACCCATTTTCAAAATGTGTTCATAACTACGCATTTTCCGAGCGACAATTCACCTCCGATTGTATTTCATTTTAATAGTCAGAATGCAAATTCCATTAGTAATTGCTTAGTCTGAGAAACATTATGTTTTTTTCTTCCTGACAACACATAATCATTTGCAATTTGTATTCTGACCAGCGTATTGAAATGCAATCATTCAAGTGAATGACAAAAATTGTAATGAGGCACTTAACAAAGACATTAAATTTGATAACACTACGAAAATGGCCTACAATATGTAGACAATATATGATTCGCCTCTGATAGGGAAAGGCATAAAAAGATCCAATTATTTGCTCAATCCTTTGCCACGTCACCGCACTATCACAATCTCATGTTTTTATTTACGTTGATCGAGTCTAAAACCACACATCATTTTCAGGTATACAGTATGAAAACCTCTTATCAAGTGAAGTGCAAATGCATTCTACATCCATCTTTTTCCCGAATTCTCTTTTTTTACTCACCTCCTTTGCTTTAATTCAGCAGTGATCTGGTGCAAAGTGATGCTTATTTGCCTATCACATGCTACATGCATGTGTTCCTTAATATAAACCTGGGCCTACTTCTTTCTTCGTATTTTCTATATTCCTTCTTTTTGTCAAACTCCTCGGTGTTGAAATGGTCTTGATTTATATATATACTGGTAAAAATTATATAAAGAACCAGGGACTGTCTAGAAACAATAATGCATTTTGAGTCATAGTCTGAATCAATAACCAGTATTTAACCACACAGCATTTTTATTGATTTGAGGCCTTCTGTTTTCATGTCGCATGGGTTTGAACCCTGGTATCTTTGTTCCCTGTCATCGATGGGTATTGGTGCATGACTAAATGGCTTCTGAAACAATGCATTTGTTGACTTGCATTCAGGTGGCATCTATTATGCATTAATTGTGAGCTCATTTTCTTTCTTGTTGTCTCTCTCTCTCTCTCTCTCTCTCTCTCTCTCTCTCTCTCTCTCTCTCTCCAAGTCCATAGCTTTCTAACCCCAGTCCTACTCTTCTGCCTCTTTAAATATCTTTCTCCCTTCCACACTCTCTCTCTACTCCCTTCCCTCCCCCTTTTCTATCTCTATCTTTTTTTCTCTCTCTTATCTCAATCTCACTCTGTCTCTTTACATCCAATATATTTGCATCATTCTTGATTCAATCTATCTCAATTTCCCTCATATCACTACTTCTGCATCTTCCAGACTTCCAGACTTCCAGACTTCCCTCTCTCTCATTAACCCCCCCCCCCCCCCACCCACCCACCCTACCTCCCTCCTTCCCTCACTCTATCTTTCTCCATCTTTTTTTCTCTCATCGGGGAACTGATTCATCTCATTCTTCACACAAAATCTACCATCTAGTACTAGTATATCCCACACACACTTATTCCCTAACTCGCTCGCTTGAGCAAACCATTAATGTAACCAAGCATGAACATCTGGTGCTTCCTCTTCTATAGGGAGTACTAGATGTAGGCCCACAGAGCTGAGTACACAGTAAACATAATACAGTATCATCTTCTTGTCATTCTCATTTTCTCTCTCCTCTCTTTCTCCCTCTCTCTCCTCTCTATCTGAGTCTCTCTCTCTCTCTCTCTCCCTCTACATGTATTAAACCTACGTGTATCTCTATATTTCCTCTTTTTCTTTCTCTCTCTCTCTCTCTCTCTCTCTTAAGTTCTCTCTCTCTCTCCCTCTACATGTATCTAAACTACATTTATCTCTATTTTTCCTCTTTCTTTCTCTCTCTTTCTCTCTTCCCTCTCTCTCTCTCTCTCTCTCTCTCTCTCTCTCTCTCTCTCTCCCTCTCCCATCTCTCTCTCTCTCTATCTCTCTCTCTCTCTCTCTCTCAACCCCCCCCCCCCCCTCCTCCCCTTTCCCTCCGGCTCTCTCTCCACACACTCCCAAACATCCCACTCCATTCTCGTCTCCCCAATCCCAAACCAAGCGCTGGATGCCGACTCCAATCCAGCAGAGCACATCCCTCCCGCCAGTCACACACGTCCAAGTGTACGCGGCCGGTCAAAAGGAGCAGCGGCCATCGCTCTCTCTCAAGGAGGAGGAAGACACGCATGCAGGTTGCTAGGCGACGGTCGCCATGGCTACATGTAATTCATGCTGTAAGGGATGCGAGGCACTGGGATGAGTGTTTACATGAGTGGGCTGCCACTGAATTCATCCTGATTTTTATTGGGAAGGGGGGGGGGGGGGGGGAGTTTGTTATGATAAGAAGGGATAGGGTAAACACTGATATATATATTCTTTAATTTCCAGCTACTGGCCTGGGCATAAATGAAATCAAGTTCGCGACAATCTACCTTCAACTACATTATATCAATATCTTCTGTTTGGAGCCTGAAGGGAGTTAACCCATTTAGCACCGAGGCAAGGGCCTTCTAGCGCTGAACCAACGATACAATCATGACAGAGCTTTATCCATGCCTTGTCTGTGTGTATCATAAACTTTCTTATGTTTTTTATTTTTTATATCTATTCAAAAAATCTATCATGCTTGAATAATTTCAAAATAATGAGATTTTGAGGTTTGAAGGAAAATTAACATAGAAATGATAGAATACACTTGTATGATTTGGGGAAACAGAAATAGCAATTCTTTTCTCTTATCTACAGGTAGGTAATTTTTTCCAAACGATTTTATACTACATGTATTGTACACTGTACACATAAAATGAATAGTCAATAAAATTTAATGGAAAACCATGTAAATTGTTGTTTTAAGACACACTTAAAGGTAAAGACCAGTATTGGAAACGCCCCAATTTCAAAAAATGAAATGGAAGCTCTTATTACCAATCATGTGAAAGAATATGTTTTGACTAATACATGATGATAAAAAATTTGCCGGGAAACCGCCTACTAATTCATATATTTGGTAAATTTGTTTCTCTCATGGTCTGTGAGAGATATAGGGTAGTCCCATATACATCTTTCTGTGTATAGTGCTTGTAACTTTACGAAGAATGGGCCAAATTTCTTATCATTTTAATGATTCCAGAACCTTGCAGATGCTAGATGTTCAATCTTTTCTGATCGATTCCACAACGTTTCTTTCACAATGCAATCGCATGACCATAACTGGTCTTTACCTTTAATACTACTGTACATGTAGGAGATAAAGGTAGCACACGG